TTCTTCTTCCGTCGTGAAGAAGGGGATCTGCATTCGATGAAGAAAGGCGACGCAGTTGGTGCATGGTACACCAAGGCTAGCTGCATCGCATCGAACCCTGCAAGCCAAAAGCATTCTGTCAGCACAGTTGTCACCACTAACTAACACAGCGAGCCCCCAATCAAGGATAGACTAACCTTTCGCGCATGGCATGTCTACCAAGTTAAGATCATGTTAGCTCTGACCGTTGAATGCATAGAGGTTTTTGTTTGGTAGATAGATAAGATAGCAGCAGAACTGCCCAAGTGAGCCGAGATGCCTCGGCCCAGGGGAAAAGAAACGCGAACTCTCCACCAAACAAACTGAGAGAATCAAACGTCCGGAACATACCTCGCAGGCCCCGCGATGCGCGTTGTCTAGAAAAGATACCGAGATGCAGTTAGCAAATAAAGGTTGATCCGTAGAACTTAAATAGAGCCGTCTCTTCTCGGGAGCAAAAGGGTAGAGAACTCACCTTCTGAAACTCATCTGGTTGCCTGAACTCGACGCCGTCTGCTTGCTTCCGCTTCCACCATCATCTCCGCCGTCTCCGCGCGGACTGGTGCCTGAGGTGACGCTTCTCGCCTTTTCCGCAAACGAAGAGGCAGCCTCGGGCTGTTGTTGTGGTTGTTGTGGTTGTTGTAGTTGCTGCTGCTGCTGCTCCCCGGAGTCAGCCATGGTTTTTCTGCTCGTCTCTGTATCTGGATCCGGGGTTGCGCTGCTCATCGTCGACCGCAATTCGAGTGAGAAGGCTATCGTTCCATGGACAGCCTAAGCGGAAAGTCGAGAAGGGAGAGAAATGAAGAGAGCAAGAAGAGGCTGCGGAACTCTGGAACGGTGGCACAGGACTTCAAGGATGCAGCAAGCTATAGTTCTCTTCCCTTTAACGGCACGAAGCGAGGGTGTAATGGCGATTTCTGGGCTGAGCAACGATATAGGGCCGTAGTATGTCTTCCTGCGCCTTCGTTTTTGTTGTTTGAGGGAGTCGAGAGATGGTTGATCGGTTTGCGCAGGGGGTGGTGATGTCCGTGTGTGTGTGGGTGTGTGTACACCTGGCCGGTGGGCGGTATCGGTCAATTAACTAGTCGGCCGGGGACTGCGATTACGAGCACCAGGAGAGTTAAAAAGGCGACGAGGACGACAAAGGATGAGCAATCGAGCCGAAAGGCGACGTAGAGCAACGAGCTTTGCGAAGAGTGAGTAGGTGCGTGAGCAGACAGAGAGATATAGGACCAAGGGACGGAGGCGGCGCGGCTGGTTCGGGCTCGTGGCGACGGAGCGCTGACCTACGAGCGTCTTTCTACTGGAGATATAATAGTTAAAGTCATAACTAGCAACTAGTTAAAGCAGAGGCCGCTGGTTCAGCTTATAGCGAACGCCTGGTTAATAACTGACTACGGCGACCCGGGATTGTCCCTTGTCTACCCCAGACTCTTCCCAGCGCTCCGGAGCCTTTTCGTCTCGTCTCGTCCTCCTCGTCTTCCTTTTCGTCCACCTTTTTGGTCGTTTTCGTTCTTCTGCTTCTCTCGTCGCTTCGCGGGAAGATCACGCATCACATGGAGCTTATGTAAGGAGAGAGTTTATAGCTGGATGGGCTAGCTTATGTAAGCGCTTTCACATAGCCTCTTACTGGCTGATATTTTTCAGGATGATGAAATTCTGTCTTTGTCAGCAGGAATATAGCCTTATCACCTGACAGTCACGCGTTAACCTCGGCAACTACTTCTTTCCGCTCTACAAACCAACAACTTCTCGCCCGCGTGGGACGTTTTTTCCAAAGCATCTCGAAAGCAAAAGCCAAAAAAAGGAAGAAAAAGATCTCAAAAGGGACGGTCAAAGTGGCATCCAGAGCGGCAGAAGAGATGGGAAAACAAGAGTTACGGGACGGACAAGGTACATGTTGGTCCCCTTGGCCTCGCTGTAGCCAGCGTTGAGTGCTTTTTTTCCCTTCCGAGTGGTGTATCTATTACCTACAACGTCACTGCACCACTATTATCATAGTCATTATTATTGATATATAGATGACGGACGTTCAGCTAGACGGGCCGAGACGTGAGTTCGTTAGCTCTCTAAGCTTCTCGTTTCCCCAGACTTCCAGACTCTCGGAAGGGATACGAGGAGCGGACTCTGGCCGTTGCTGTTGAACTAGTCCGGGCGTCGGGTCGGAGTCACTGAGTCTAGAGCAACGAAGTAACTATACACTGACGTAGTTCACGGCCGAGTCATGAGTGTGGCTATGTTTTAGGATCTCCAGGCACGAGTACTTAAAAGGCCCATGTCGAATAAGAAAACGACAGCTGACCAATGCCGATTCCGATCTATGTAAGGGGTGAAGTATGCGCAGAAGCTATAGATATGAGGGGTACAGGAACCGTATCATTTTATATGGCTTTGCAGGGAAAGGCAAAAGGGCTTAAACTGCTCTATTCTTTTCTAATAGAGGCCAAAATTAACGAAGAAAAAGGGCGACAGTGGGGAATAATTCGGGAGGTGGAAGTCATTATGGATAAACGTAAAGAGACCTATATGTAGTATAAGAAGGTGATAATAGACAGAGGAAGGATGTAAAAAGTAATAAAAGTAATAAATAAAAGGAAGACGGGAAGCAGTCAAGAAAGAGAAGCAGAAACCCACTTTCTACTTGAAAACGTTCTTTTCCTTTTCGCCTTCCAAGTCAAGCTGGCTTCGAGAGTCATCAAACTCGATGCCAGAAATGAACACGCCGCTCAGGGACTCGATCAGCGCCACAAATATACAGAGCGCACTCGATATGCAGAAGTGACTGATCGTAGTGCCAATATCCAGCCAGCTCCCTTCATCACGCACCATGAAGAAGAAGTTCATCGTCATCACATCGCTGATGCACATCACAATCATAAAGAGCGCTGACGGAGCAACGTGTAGTCTGCGGTTGAGAATGCCAAAGGTAGCACTCAACAGGGCGAAGGGGACGAGGATTTTGAGGATCAGTAGTGCAGCCTGAGCGAAAGGGTTGAAGACGGGTATAAGGCGTGAGACGCTGTCGAGGGAAAAGGAGGAGACGCTGGCAATGTTACCCGTGCTGAAGAATCCCGATTGAAGAAGAAAGAGGAAGAAGAGGGCAATGCGGGCGTCGGAGATGTTAAGGGGGCGGTAGGTAGAAGTGATAGTGGTTGAGGTGTCTGGCTTGGGCTCTGGAGGGGTGGGTTTAGGGGTATCTTCTCGGGACAGCATTGGTTTAGCGGGCATTGATGGTTGAGTATGCTTGTAGATACTGTACTCGAGTCGGACCCAGCTGACGAGAGTTGCAAAGTACACAACGTAAAATAGACCTTCGTAGGAGACTGTAAGGACGATGAAGGTGGGCGAAAAGGAGAGGAACAAGACAATCAGGCGGTGGAAGTAGTGTCCCGTCGGGAAGAACTTGTGCAGCATCGGCAGAAGGAAAGATGATACTAGGAAAAGTTAGACGGATAGTCATAGATGTTATATAAAGGATGCCTTACCCATTGCAATCCAGCCAGTGACTTGGTTACCAAAAGGCAGCCCCGATCTCGCCTGGAGCGATGTAATGCTTGAGCGGGTAACGATGATGGAAAGGAGGATAAGTCCAATCTATCACCTAATAAGTATATATTAAACAGATAGCAGTCTCATAGAATCGTACCTGGGCTCCCATCACAATACGTGAACCTATATTAAAGGTGCTTCCTGATGATGTCTTCACTTTCGATGATGACAGCATAGATTCTTCGAATATCAAGTAGAGCATTCCAATAGCAAACATAAGAATGCCTCCGCATGTCCTTTAAATCAGAAAATTTAGCAATCGAAGCAGCCGTCATAAAAAAAGGAGTGAACTTACACCGTATCTACATCATCCTGTTTCCCGACAGGCAAAAGGGTGAAGTTGCTCATAAAGATACAGCTGACGGCCCATCCTGCTGAAAGCAACTTATTTTTGCTCAAAAAATCGAGTCCGTAGAGGGCTGGCCATATAGAAGCTAGCAGGTAGCAGACTGTGTATATCTCTCGAGTGAAGTATGATTGGACCTAGGGGCTCCACGTTAGTAGATACATCAATCGTTGGCAGTAGAGGTACACTCACAAGCCCTTGTAAAACTCCGATATATAATATGGCTTGCAATAGTAACATGACATAGCCCGTGAAGGACTTCACGTGGCCGAGGAGTATCCTTCGCCCAGCACCAAGAGCTGCTCGGCGAGCAAACACTTCCTCCCAGAAGAAGACCGGGAAAAACGCATATGCATAATACCGCCATGTTGACTGCTGGATCCATAGAAGCGAGTACAGGACCATGAGCACAGACGAAAAAAACATGAAACTAGGGATAGATCGGTCGGGTTCCGTAGATGATGGCAGGACATGCAGGTCTATCACAGTGACTAATGCATACGCGATCCAACCTAGGTATCCCGCTGTTACGATGGCACGGAGGAACAGCCAGTCATACGTCTGCAGGTAACGTAACCCTTCCAAAGCATCCTGGAAGAGTCTTCTAGATTGAAGGATGGATTCCTCGTATTTGCGGGTGGAGATCAACTTGCGAATGGCAGCTAATTGAGCCTCAGGTGAACGCTGTGGCTGCGTGAAAGATGAATACCCCTGATACTTGATAGTGGTAGCTTTCTTTTGTTCCTCCTTGACACGGTACATTTCAAGAACACCCTGGGTATTGGCCAACGCAGCTTTGGCCTTTTCCTTTGGAGTAGCATCGAGGTAGGAGAGTGGGAGTTCACCAACAGAGTTTACAGGGAAGTCTAGGCCAACCAGGTAAGCCATGAGAGCAGCCACATCGGCCTGGGCAACGTCGTGTCGTTTGATATCATCCAGATGCCAATCTGAGGAGAAGCCATCCTCATGCCCAGGTGCGACAGCCCCTTTCTTAGATTTCACTGGTTTAGCTACCCCAGAACCCCAGGCAATAAGGGGCGTACGGGTATTATCCGGATGTCCGTCTCCATGGCTACCCCAATCACTCATGCCGTGATCAGCGGTAAAGACAAAGGCCGTATCCTCATCTCCATAGAAATCCTCTATCAACTCTGTAATCTCGCGAACGCCCTTGTCGACAACTTGAATATTATGCAGGTACTCCTTTGAGTATGGACGGTAGAAATGTCCGGTCGTGTCTAATCCGAGAAGGTGTAAAAAGAACACAACCTTGTCATCCCTTAGCTGTGCATCGAGCTTTTTGTCCTCCTTTGCGGCTGCAAACAGTTCTTTAACACGGTCAAATACCCAGATATCCAAAAATGTAGCATCTCGAGTAAAATCCTCCGCTTCTTCGCTATACATATCAGCAGAAACTCGACCAGGAACAGCGCCCTCTTTGAACATAGGCAAGATATCGGGACTTCCCCAGCTCCAGGTATGTCTGCTTCGGTTGAATACGCTATCAAAATTGACTGGATTCAACTTCCATCCCGTCGTCACAGCCGAAACATCCTCATATAGACCCGCAATCAAAGCAACATGGCCTGGCCTTGACTCTGTTGGTACTCGAGTATGCGATACGCCGAAAGTGCCATGTTCTAGGACGCGTGAACGAAGGAACGGCGCAAGGGGTTTGGGGGTCAAATCGGGTTCTGGGCAGGTTATTTTGTCCTCGCTGTCCTTTGAACAGCCCGTCTTCGGCGGGGACGGGTCCGGGAAGTATTGGAATGCCTTGTCTGCGCGAAGGCCGTCACCGACGAAGAGGACGAGGCGTTTGGCGGGTGCTTTTGCATGGGGGCTGCGTTCGACGCCATATTCTCGCATGCCACTGACAATTGGACTGACGAAGTAAATGTCGAAGATCGAGTAGGTATAGATAAGGTGGAAGAGGACCGCCAGGGCCAGGAACAACCCTGTGCGAGACATCGCAGCGCCGCTAGCTATTATTTTTCCTTCTCTTGCGGTAGCTGCTTCTGCCTAGTGCTGGACAATGAGTGAGTGTGCAGAAAATGGCCGAAGCCTTCAATTGAGCAGGCTATGAAGGCAGAGAGAGACCGCAATCCATCACCCGCTCCGAAGGTGGGAGGGCGCAGCACTAAGTAATATGAGGCTTAAGGGGCGAAGGACAACAAGGTGTTTTCTGCTATTTCTTCTCTGGAAAATAATGTCCTAATCGTGGCTTCTGATTGGATACTGAGCACAGAGCTTCCCGGGCCGCGCGAAAAAGTAAAAATAGTTAAATTTTCTAGTTAAGCTTAAGTAGATAAACAGCTAGAGAAAGACGGTACAGAGAGAGTGCGGAGTATGCGACGAGAGGATAAAGAAATCAAGAAGATGGTAGTAGATTTAGATGTATATGAAGGCGCCTAAGAGTCTGTCTGCTTCTTTGTCAGTCTATCTACTACACGGCTATAAAACATAGCTGCATGCTGCCGGGAGAATGTGATGTCTACTGAAAGATAGTCAGGCAGTATCTCCAGCAGCTCTCGGTCCCTGTTCTCGTCCAGCAACGGAACATAGTGGAACTCTGCAGCTTCCAGGCTGGCAGTCGACCTGTTGTCCATGTTGTGGCTGACACCAAGTTTGAAATGCAGCGCTACTTCTTAAGTTAGTATCAAAGCACAGCAAAACAAAGGATGGAAGACAAGTGTTAACGTACTTCCGTTAAGACCAGTTTGTATACAGTCATACAAGTGATCTGATTCCCGCTTCTTCACATCTCGAATAATCAAGCCAGTAAGGTCACTGTACAAGTCTTCCTTGAGCTGAGCTATCTGAGCACACTCTAAGACACTATTGGCAGCGTCTCTAGAGACAGCACCCGGTCGAGTGGCAGGTCCCCTTGCTGCAGCCGCTTTCTCCGCGTTAGCAGCGGCATTCCTCGCGGCTGTAAGTTTTGACTGTAGCGACTTGGCCTCCGTTTGGGCCTTGTTTAGGCCAGACTTCATTTCTTCAAGCTGTTGTCGCAGCTTAGCCACTTCCTCGTTCCGTGATTCAACTTGCTTCTGTAAATCTCGGGTCTGTTTTGATACGCTTGATTGCTTTGATAGTTCACTCTTTAGGGAATTAATAAGCTGCTTGGATGCTATCGACATCGCTTGTTAGCCCACTACCTCGTCACTGAACAATAAAGTAGCTTACCTGCTGTGGTCTCCTCATGCTGTTTCCGTATCTTTTCCAAGTTGGAGTTTGCCTCAACTATACCAATTTCCCGCAAGGCACGGTATTTCCCTTCCATAGCGTCATACTTCTTGGTCATCTCGCCCAGTTTCACCCTGAGAGCAACTTCGCCATCTCCCGTCTCATGGTTCTTAATAGGGCTGCCCCACGGTTTTATCCCGGACGGCCTAGATGCCCTTCGTTGAGGTAAGGTGGTGTTTGTAGTTTTCACAGGCGATGCCCAACGGATCCCTGAAGGTGTGAATTTCTGCGTCCTGCCAGTGGAAGTGCTAGTTCTGGACGCACTCTTCGCAATTTCCGGCGTTACCTCTGCTATCGGAGATGGTTCTTTGGCCACTTGTTTTGCCGTTGGTCTTCCTTTCTGCCCCAGAGTTGCCTTTGACCTGGTATTTGTAGGAGTGTACTCGAATTCCCCGTCCTTTATGGTCTCTGCTTCCTTTGCTCTCCCTCGTGTCCGACTCTTCCCCTGGCCCTCTTGATTCTGAACAGTCTCTGGCGAATCGAGTTCATCCTCGGATACTCCTTCTCCCCCCACAGTCTCATTTTCTTCCCCAGCACTGTCTGCATTATCCACAGGTGGCTCATCCACTATTTTGGCTGCCTTCCCTCGCCCTGTCGCCGCACCACGCTTTTTTGGGCCTACCACCACTTTGGAGCGCGTTTTCCTTGTCGTCTTTGCGGGCGCAGTCGCGGTCTTTGTCGCAGTAGCTTTTGGTCGGCCTTTCTGTCGTTTGGCTGGTGGAGGTTCTATGCTCGCGTTATCATCGTCGTCGACGCGACTTAGATCATCGTCCTCTTCCTCGCCATTCACCAATGACAAAAGCTTCGACTCTGCCTTGCGCTTGGGCATTGGGCCTGTATATCTCTTATTTTCCTTTATATAAACCACGCTCGAAGCTGTATCTCGAATAGCTTGCGGTATTCAAGTATCAACGCCGAACTCCCTCGAGTGTTTTCGTCTGTTGGCGTTTTGGCTCTTCATGCACGTGACCACTCACTGGCTCGGGCTAACTAGCCACAGCAGCCTCGGCGCAAAAGAGAAAAATATCTCAAGCCACAAATTACTTATCAATCACAAGCAAAGGCCCTAATATTTGACACTTGTGAGAAGCTCGTTCGTCTAGGTTTTTCGAGATAAGAGTGTTTGTTACTGTGCTTTGCTGCTACAGATACTCCGTAGTGCTTTTGTACTGCGAGGAGTCTTGACTGTACCAAATATACATCCTCACTGATGGCTTCCAGCGGAGCCCGGCGCTGGCAACAGCTTGTCCAGGAGCTGATCTTGATCGCTGGCACAGTGCGTGCAAATCCCCCATTCTGCTAGCGGTTGGTGATTATTATTTGCTAATATCTTGGTTGTTGGCAACAGTCTCTTTCAACATATTTTGTCGTCCGGTTCCTATTGTCCAAACTTGAACTCGACCCAGACAGCCAAAAGCGTGAAGAGGCCAGACGGAAGTCCGCCGCAGTACTCAAACGATTAGACAGGGAAGAAGACTCAGATAATGAATCATCAGGGAGCGGGAAGAAAAATGGTCAACGGCGGCAGCGGAAGGAGAAGCTTGTCTTGACCCAGTATGAGCAGACAATAGCTATGGACGTTGTCGCGCCAGAAGACATCCCCGTGTCATTCGACGATATCGGTGGCCTGGAAGATATTATTGAGGAGTTGAAGGAGTCCGTTATATATCCGCTTACCATGCCACAACTATACCGAACATCTTCTTCTTTGCTTAGTGCACCATCCGGAGTTCTACTCTACGGGCCCCCGGGATGTGGAAAGACTATGCTGGCAAAGGCTCTTGCACATGAAAGCGGAGCATGTTTCATAAATCTACACATTTCAACCTTGACGGAAAAATGGTACGGAGACTCGAACAAGCTGGTTAATGCCGTTTTTTCGCTTGCACGGAAGCTAGAGCCAAGCATTGTCTTCATTGACGAGATCGATGCCGTCCTGGGAACAAGGCGCAGTGGAGAACACGAAGCCAGTGGCATGGTAAAAGCAGAATTTATGACCCACTGGGACGGGTTGACTTCTGCAAATGCCATGGGCCAACCCCAGAGGGTTCTTCTCCTCGGTGCTACCAACCGGATCCAGGATATCGACGAAGCTATATTACGACGGATGCCCAAAAAATTCCCTGTCACTTTACCCCTAGCGCCTCAGAGGCAGAGGATCCTTAGTCTTGTACTCAAAGACACAAAGGTAGACAAAGATGACTTTGATGCTTCATATCTCGTTAAAGTCATGGAGGGAATGTCAGGAAGTGATATCAAAGAAGCATGCAGAGATGCAGCTATGGTCCCTGTCAGAGAACTTATCCGAGAAAAACGAGACGCTGGGGCAATGATACACTCCGTCGATCCCGGAGAGGTACGAGGAGTCAGGACAACCGACTTCTTCAAGAGAGCTGGTGCAGTCAAATCCTCAAGGCACACAAGCTCCGCATCAGTAAGGAAGTCCATCTCCGAGAAAGACTGGAGCACCGAGTCAGAGCAGGACGAGATGGTTGACGCACCTGCCGTCGTCCCTGTAGCAGAGGGACTGGACTAGGTCTGTCATACTATCCATGGATGTATGGAACTCATGAGAAAAGACGGATGTATAACCATGTTTTATTCAATGGATATAGGCGTTAACCGTAGATCGGAGGGTTACTTGATACTTGTTCAACGTTTTTTTCTTTTTGGCAACATATACATATACCTACGACAGACCTTATAATAGCTCCCTTCACTCTTAATATATCAAACCCATCAGATATCATCTTCGTTATGTCTACTTTGCCGCAACTTCCTGGCCAAAGACGGAGATTACATAATAGCTAACTACTTTCCGTAGATGACGCGATCGCTTTCCGTTGGAGAAAAGTACGAAGAGTCACATTTGGCTTCTCAATATCAAAATCACAAGAGAAAATTATCTGATATTCCTAGCATATATCGCCATCTACTATTACTACAGCCTCTTGTCCTTCTGGACCTTCGTTTCTTTTTCTCTCTTGTTTGTTCCCCTATACAATTGGCATCAAGATGTCCGAATCTGGCCCTCCCCCGCCAGGGTCTGCTGCAGCCGCAGGAACAGCAGCAACAACGGGGAAGGGTGGCAGCGCTGTAAAAAAAGCATTCCCGCATGTTGACCTAGCCGGCCATGACCTACCGCCATCTCCTGCTCCGTCAAGCCCACGGACGGGGAGGAGGTATGCCCTTGCAACGGAATTGGTATATACCGAGGGCAATGACCAGTTCAATGCCAGCAGTGTACCGATATACCAGGTAAATAAAATCACTGCATCTTGATATCTCAATTATGATACCCACAGTCATGTTAATATCTACTTTGATTACACTTATTGAACTGCTTTGCTAACGATTACAGAGTGCTACATTCAAGCAGACATCCGGCGGCGGCGGCGGTGAATACGACTACACGCGATCAGGGAACCCTACTAGAACACATCTCGAACGCCACCTGGCCAAGATCATGTCTGCACAGCGAGCACTTGTTGTATCTTCCGGCATGGCAGCATTGGATGTAATCACGCGACTCCTCAAGCCCGGAGATGAAGTGGTGACGGGAGACGATCTTTACGGAGGAACTAACCGACTGCTCAAATACTTGTCTACCCATGGAGGAATCATTGTACACCACGTCGATACTACCAATCACGAGAAGGTTGAGCAGGTACTCAGCTCCAGGACAGCGATGGTCTTACTGGAGACTCCTACGAACCCATTGATTAAAATCGTTGATATACGTCGAATCTCCGCAGTGACCCACGCTAAAAACCCGGGTGCTTTGGTTGCTGTAGATAACACCATGCTTTCCCCACTACTGCTTAACCCACTAGACCTAGGTGCTGATATCGTCTATGAGAGCGGAACCAAGTACCTCTCCGGTCACCATGATTTAATGGCAGGTGTTATCGCAGTCAACGACCTAGCACTTGGAGACAAGCTATACTTCCCCATAAATGCCTCTGGGTGTGGTTTGTCGCCATTTGACTCATGGCTACTTCTGCGCGGTGTCAAGACGCTTAAAGTCCGCATGGAACAGCAACAGAATAACGCCCAACGAATTGCAGAATTTCTTGAATCACACGGATTCCGTGTTCGATACCCGGGGCTAAAATCACACCCTCAATACGATCTCCATTGGACGATGGCTCGAGGGGCTGGTGCTGTTCTTTCATTCGAGACGGGAGATGTTATGATAAGTGAACGCATTGTTGAGAGTGCAAAGCTATGGGCCATCAGCGTTAGTTTTGGATGCGTGAACAGTTTAATCAGTATGCCATGCCGCATGAGCCATGCCAGTATTGACGCAAAGACTCGCAAGGAGAGGGCTATGCCCGAAGACTTGATTCGTCTTTGCGTGGGTATTGAAGATGTGGATGATCTAATCGATGATTTAAGAAGAGCCGTAAGTCGCCAATATCTCTTATTGCTTCCATCCGAAATCTGATTTACTAACGAATCTATGGGAATAGCTTGTCCAAGCTGGTGCGGTTAACGTCACGTTAGACGGCTTCCACAACATCAACCAGGCCTCCACGGCCTAAGATTCTGTCCCTATTTCGTCCTTTTTGATTCCCATACTGCAGGCGTTCCCGGTAAACTGTGTTATAAAACATATCACGATCATATCACTATGGAATGGCGTCCAACCGCCTTCCAGCAGAGGAATGTTAATGTCTTATGTATATTTATAACTTAAAATATTAACATGGAAGTTAGATTTGCGGCTACTTTGGATGCACAAGTAGCAGATAACTGCAATCTAATTGAATTATTTTTTTTCGGTTTTCTGGCCTTCTCTTTTACATCTAGCTGTAGGGTCAAATGGTATACCTGAAGAATGGGCTTAAATCACCCATATCCAGCAATTGTTGTTGTGTATACCTAGCTCTGATGGTTTCTTCGCCCTGTTCCGCAATTAACTTATCCCGCTGATCATTCACCTTCTTGAATTCTACTCGCAGGAATATAGCTGTTATAATTGCAATTCCACATATTGCCAACGAAACCCCAAATCCCGTTGGATACCTTGGTTTCTCTTTGGCAAAGTATATATTTGACCCAGCTATGCCTCCCCAGTTACCAATGGAAATTAAAATTGCCATTCCAACGGCTCGTTTGGACGAAGGTGCGAGGTTGTTAGCTGGAATCGTGAGTTAGTAATGTATCCCTTGAATGCACCTAATGCCTCTCAGCGTATTAAAACTTACCAATTAGACAGAGCACAGGAGTAAACGCGGAGTATAGTCCGCATGCAATGAGGAACAGCATTCCATACGTCAAACCAGGGTACCGGGGATGTGGGATGGCTAGCTGTGCTGCAAATCCCAAGAGGGCAACGGTATTCCCAGCGATAATAAACGGGGTTCTCTGCTCATAATGATCAGAGAGGTAAGCGAATGCCAGGATTCCTATTGTTGCTGCAACATATATCGGTATAGTGAGGAGCTGCGCCTGTGCGGCAGTATATCCGAGATCACTGATAACTGTAGGCACAGTTGCTGTGAATCTATATGACTTTTAGCCGGCCATTTGGTTCCTATTATAACACTTTTACATACCCGTAAACACCAATAGTATTGGCCCAGAACATTAATATAGCACAGTAGATTTTCCATTCTTTAAAGGCAGCTATAACATGCCTGGGTGTAATCTTGTCATTGTTAGTGACTCGCCCTTGGCCAGAACCCGTCTCAAGAGATAGTCTGTTGACAATGAACTTCCTTTCTTCCTTAGTTAAGAACTTTGCTCTCTCAGGGCTGTCCGGAAGTATAAACCATATCACAATGGAGAAAGCAACAGGTAGAAGTCCTTCGAGTATGAATATCCTAATTCCATATATCAATTAGCTGCTCGTTGTTCGCTTTCTAGATAATGTGACATCTTACCAACGCCATCCCGCGAGATTTGCAATGCCATGCATCTTTTGAATTGCAAATGCGAGAAGGCCTGAAAATGCTCCAGACAAGGAAGCAGAGCCGTAAAAGATGGCCATCCGATGCTGTACTTCATACCGCTTGTACCATATCGTCAACAGGTAGGTAGCTGCAGGGAAGAAACCAGACTATATAGTTCATCCAAGTCAGGTATCAACACTTGCAACTGGTATGGTATAGAACATGGTTTAATTAGGTATACCTCAGCTACACCCAGGAAGAATCTAGCAATAAGTAGACCCTGGTAACTCTGGACTACTCCATTAAACTATATTGGAGTGTTAGGGAAAGCTGTAACTAAGGCTCTTGGGTACACTTACGTAGTAACGGTACCCCAGCCTAGCATCATGATAGCAATCCATACCGACGGTCGCAGAATTTTAAGAATTATGTTGCTAGGAACTTCAAACAGGCCATATGGGATAAAGAAGAGTGTTAATGCTATATTATACTGATAGCCTACCAAATGTAAATCCGTCTCCAGGCCGGCAATTTTAGCATTTGCAACTGGTTGTTTTCAAATTAGTGTCTCATCAAACCGAATACTAGATTTTCAAAAGAAATACATACTGTTTCCTCTGTCAATAAATGCAAGTAAATAAAGCAGAGTAAGCAGTGGAATAAGTCGATAGTCAACCTTTCTCAATATCCGCTTTGCTTCCTCTGGAGAGTAGGCTTGGACGGATACTAGGGTCTCGTCGACCTCGTCGCTCTCCACAACATCAGATGCCAGGATTTTGTCATTGTCCACTCTAATCTTTGACTTCTCAGCCGTCTCGGGTTTGGACGGCAGAGATATGTCTGGATTCATCAGGTTCTTATGTTAAAATCGTCAGATATCTTATTTAATATGTGTTTTGGTTGTGGGATTGTAGGGGAGTCTTTGTTGGGATTGATCTGGGTAGTTATATTGATATTAGGACTGGCGCATGATCATCCAAGCCGTTAACTAGCGCCTCACCCTGGTTGATTTACCCCAGTCTGGATACACAGAGAAGCCACTTACATAGAGCGGTTTGACCGACAGATGATAATTTTACGGAGTTATGCTTGGGCTGAAGCCCCGGCTATTCAAATGACTTGTTCTTGTTAGTCACTGTTCATCGGGGCTGTAGTTAGCCTGTTGGAATTCTTGGATGTAAATAACAAACGACATACTATAAAGGGTGCATTAATTCTATGAAAAGGGAATATCTATTGGCCACTCTCCCATCAATAAACTCATTAGTGATTAGCACCTAAGGGAAATTTAACCCTTGGTAAGGTGAGCTTAAATATAACTTCTCTTAAAGATTTTGGTACGTTCGGGTATGCTAGTTCACAGTTGTGCTCGCTTTCTTCTTGACTTGAGATGCCAAAGGTCTGCCCAATTCCTAAGTTCAGGATTGCTAGACCCGTCTCTCTGGAGCTGAATATAAGTATAGCCCCTTAAGTACACGGGTAGATGACGGGTTTCTTGGATAAGTGGGGCGAGAAAAACCTCTGATTTGGATATTGGACATTCTCCTTTGCTTGTGGGGACGAGCATATGTTTCTCTCAGAACAAGTACAACACCTGCTATCAAAACTCCCATCTCTTCATAGCTACCCGAATTTAGAAGAGTTGGTAGGTTTAAGTTAGGGTTCGGAAGCCGTCAGGCTACCACGGTTGCGGTAAACCAGTGTCCAGTTTTAAGCCATATTCATAATTTCCCAACAATGGCGAAAAATGGTGGCCTCATTTCCCCAGCATATATATTGATGGTCTCCCCCACATTCTATGTGAATAATAACAGGAGGTTGACGTCCCCGATTTTGGTACTGACGGCACAAGCGATAGGGAAAATCAGGAGCAAAGGGTTGAAAATATTGCATCGTACAGCCGGCCGTTCTGGGTATACATTTCCATGTTAGACTAGAACTGGTACTGTTATCAATGGTATATTGCATCTGTACCCTACACTACATTAGCTAGCCCCCTAATGCTTCTATGCTGAGGTTGGCCAGTCCGTTGTATTAGATAGTGAAATTATTGCGATCATCTCTGATTGATGATTTGCCGCCAGGTCGTAGGCTCGGTCATCCCATGAACTTGGCGCAGCTAACAAAGCAGAGAGTTGGCCTTTAGTTACTCCGTACGTCTGACAATAGTTAATCGGACACAGGAGCTTTATACCCCTTAACATAAGGGGTAGTTGAAAGACGGCTGAGATGGTAACTAGCATGGACAACTCATTTCTGAGGCAGGCTTGACTATCAAAGTCACACCGTGTATATTGCTTCTTCCCTCCCACCCGCCGCAACGCGATCCTATCCCTTGATAGGATAGGAACTGAACTGCTCTACCCGACGATATCACCGATTTGACTCTCGTTTATTGGTGACGACGAAGAATAGTTGCTTTTTCTCTGTGCCTCGATTCAACTCGGCTGAAGTCATTTCTCCGAGCAGACGGTGACCAGGCAGCCGGCAAAGAAGCAATCAACACCGACCAGCAACGCTACTGGCCGAAAGGTCTCGGTTCCCCAGTTCCGCTGGCTAGTTCGGCCTCAAGCTGCCATGGAACTTGCGTCTCTTCCTTCTCCATCGTTTTCTTTTTTTTTTGCCTTGCAAGGGGACATCCTGGTCAGTCACGTGATTGTGCTTGAACTCGCCCAGGGTTTTTGCTTTTAAAGGGCGCCAGGATGCTTGAGTCGACCGGTGAAAAGACGCTGGTTGGGGCCTTTTTTCTCTCTCTGGTGGAAGAAGATATCAAGGACAGCCTGAGTGTGAGAGACGCCTTGCGTTTGTCGACCCGTTTGCAGCGTTGGACTCATCAGCCGCGAATCAATTTCGTCCCTTTTCTCCGCGATACCCGAAAGTATCTTAGGCATAGCCGGACTTGTCATTATCTCATACGGAAATAAGTCCTGGCAGGTTCTTTAATTCTTCTATTCTTAGCTTGAGTGCCTGGCAACAATAGCTATACTATCCGGAGATGTCTCGCGAAGGAGTCGAGTCCAAGGCGAGCTCAGTCCCTTCCGGAGACAGCCGCCAGGGCTTCCTCGAGCCACGCCAGCTTCACGTACCTGAGACCGTTCTCAGCGGGGCGCGAAGATGGAATACAGGGCATCTGGGATCAAGACTAGCAGTTGATGTGGTTAGTGCTGCAACTGCTGGTGCCCTCATATGCCCGATGATCACGATCATTGACCGGTGAGTCTTGAGCCATGTTGCGCTGATATACCTACATATTATACCTAGATATGACACTAACACTCGGCACCGGTTCTAGTTCGATTATCGAGAAAGCAGCAATGGGAATCTCAATTCAATCCAGTTTGGCCTCATCGTTAAAGAGCATGATAACAAAACCTCATCGATTCCTCACTTCGACACCGTTCCTTCTTATATACACTCTCTACTCGTCCACATACCTCTCTGCCAATCTGATCGACACCGCGGTGTCAACCATGCAAGATAAGGCGTATAATAATGTATCCACTGGGTTCATGAAATTCATAACCACAGCATTGGTGAATATGTCAATATGCGTGTACAAGGACTCCCGTTTTGTTAAGATATTCGGAAACCAAGGAAAAGGGAATAGTTCGTCAGCAGCGCCTGCAAAGGCATCAACTACGGCAGCTGCTATTGCTCCACAGATCAAAGGAGCGGCCGCTTGCCTACCACAAAGTACACCAAAGATACCAATAACTTCATACGGTCTCTTCTGCTTCCGAGACAGTATTACTATCTTCGCCTCTTTCAACCTCCCGCCCATAGTAGCAAAATACGTACCGGATGCAGTTGCATCAAATCCAAAGTCGAAATATGCTATTGCTCAATTCGCAATACCAGCTTCTATCCAGCTAATCAGTACCCCCTTTCACTTGCTGGGATTGGACCTGTATAACCGCCAACCCCCCGGTGGATTACCAGCGGCTGATAGATGGGCACGCGTGAAGAGAGACTGGGCTCCAAGCTGTCTTGCTAGAATTGGACGAATTTTGCCAGCCTATGGAGTTGGTGGTGTGGTGAATACAAGAATGAGAGAAAGATTTATGAGCTCTATTGATCCTGGCAAGTGATCGTAGAAGAAGAAATGTTACCTTTTGCATGAGATGCTGGTGGACCCTGCTGGTCTCCTGTGTCCCCATTAGTGAGGAGTAGCAGGGGCAAGACGTGCCAATGCATCTGCAACTAACAGACCCTGGATCACCACATTCTATTTGTATTGACACATGCGATACCGACACTTCCGAACTTTCAGATGCATCCGATCCCGGTCCAAAGGATACTAAATGTGCCCTTTCACTGCGTTATATTTCCTCCTGATCAGTGTCCACATCGGTCCCTTTTCTATTTTCGGGATAATAAATAGCCCCTTATGACCCTTGTTTTTCTCGCTTTACTGGACTTTCCGGCTCGGTTGAATAGACCTTGGTATTTTTTTTTTCTTGGAAACTATGAGCGAATTCGTGGATGGACGGCGTTATGTACTGGAAATTGGGTACGCCCGTTCTGTGTTTTATTCTATTATATGATCTATGGCGCCCAAAGATAAAAGTTATAGACTTTCTTGTTTATAGAAGCCGCGAATAAAGCATCTTGCATATATTGTATTCCGTATAGCTACTCTCTTGTTCCGAGTAAAAACTAGTAAGAAAAGGAGCTCTTCGATCAAAGCAAGGGAGATTCCTGGATTAGCTACGTTACATCAATTATTTTGCGCTTTTTGATATAAAATGCCAAATGCGGGTAAGTGATGAATATACAAGGAGGACATTTCAAAGAAAGGAGAACATAAAGAGAGTAAGGAGGGATGGTTAGGAAGCCTTGGATATAAATGGGGACACCACCGGGTAGATGCTTGATAAGAACTTGGCGTATAGCCAACAAAGGGGAGATTGTGGGTATAGTTAACGGAGGTTTGAACATATAAGTAGTCAAGGATAGCGTGTATAGTTATTTCAGTTTCATTCAGACTTCTCGCGTCGAAGTCGTCGCTCTTCCCTTCGGCGCTCTCGCTCTTCTTGTCGTTGCTTCCTTACGGCCTGTGCCGCATAGAAGGCCTCTGAAAGCGCTCCTTCGGAGAGAGTCTCTTGAGGAACGGCATTAGGTCCACCGAACACCAGGAAGCCATTGTGGAATGCCCATTGTACGGCTTCTTCAACGGGTTTATCAAATAGATACGGCAAGGCTGGGACAACGGAAAGCCCAAGCTGTTACGTTAACAAAAGGGGCCGAATGTCAGCGTCTTGAAATCGGTTTAGTTATGCGTTGGAGTGGCGTGACTTACCCCGATTGGTGCCCAAGTTCTGAAAAACACGCTCTTCATATCCTTCATTGCTCGTCCAGAGTACTTGACAATAGAGTGGATTGTGAATGCTGGTAAGCCCATACTGGCAATGGACTGGAATACGGCTCTCTCGGCCATAACGGAACGGTAGTCCTCACTCATAGGGATCTTCCTTGTTGGCCATGGAGCCAGAGTATCTGCCTCGGGATCTTTCCAGGGCATCGGATGTTTGGGGCATGCTGTTGAGGTTAACGTATGCTCTTCAATGTCCTTTAGAGCAGCCTTGTTCACAAAGTGCTCTTCCAGTGCCTTGCGGTCAGTACTACTTTTCAAATTAACGTCTCCAGCAGCAATGGTCTCATTAGCCTTTCTAAAAGCTTCACTCTTCGGAGCGAGTATCTCCTGGTTCCGTAGATATGCCTTGTATCCTTCATTGGCGACATCACCAAAGATGTAAGCCCAGGAGACACCGTATGCGCCTTTGACCAGCCATGGATGCGCCACTGGCCGGAACGACTCTCCAATGTCCGATGTATATGCGACATAACGGTGTGCAGAAAGAAGTAGCGTCCGGATTCGAGCTGCGTAAGCCGAGTATCGATATCCGGTATCAACGGTATCTATCGAGCTATAGCCAGCCAGATATGGTGCGTGAGTACAGTGGCGTCCCAAGTAGCAATCAGGCAGCAGAGGGGTTTGATCCCACCCCTCGGAACAGTCAAAGAGCAGAGAAGAACACAATTCAGGGAATGGAGTTAGCCTTACTTGCCCTCGTAAAGCTGGTCCAGTATTTCATCCTCGCGGTCGACGAGCTTCTGCAGCTCAGGGGTCAGTTTGCGGGTGCGAGGCACTTCCGGCCGGGAGTCGCCTGCCACGGCGAGTTGCTCGTCCTTGGCCATAGCTGGAGCTGTACGAGCTGTAGATAAGAGAGCTATTAGTGTAATTCTAGTGATCGCTTCCCGCTCTCAGAACACTGCGGGTGTATAGCAGGAGAAGAGGCCCTGGAGCAGGCCGTCAGCACGAAGAAAAGCGTCGTAAACACGGAGCTTTGCATCTACGGAGTAGAAGAAGCCGTTCGGCGGCATTTTAAAGCATCATGCAAAAGCGGCGGCAAGACCCGGGGAAACAAACACTTTACGTCATCAAAGCTATTGCTGAGTCATATATTAGTCAAAACTGATTAGTAATAAATCACGTGGAAGGTTTGCCGATTCGACGTCGAACTTGCAAAACAGCAACAACTTTGAAGAAGAAGCAGAAGTTGATTCCGTCCAGCCCAGCCCGCCAGCTCCAGCATTGAGATCTCTGTTCGTCACTCTGCGTCGTATTCCAGGGTCTACACGCCTTTCTACAACGTTACCGCATTCACAATGGTTGCCACTTACACTATCCTCGGCCGCAAAGTCGGTTCTCACGTCGTACGTTCACACTCACCTTCCCTAACGCTCCCAATGGCCCCCTCGGATTAAAAGGATCGTCCGAGACAGGTCGCCATCCTTATATCTGCTATCAATTCGCTTTGTGAGGCCTGTTACTGATGCGTTTCTGTCCCAAATTAGCTTGCCATGACCGTCCTCGGTGGCACCGCCGGTGGCATCTACTTTGCCCTCCCAGGAAAGCAGAACAAGGCTCAGGCCCCACCAATCAAGGCCAGCAGCAAGGACGAGGAGGCATTCATCCAGTAAGCCGAGTGCTTCTACTTTATAACGTTCTATTTGAGCATCTACGGATGAATTAAGCATGATACTAACACTTCCGTTCTAGGGAATTCCTCAAGAGCGTTGAAGCCGAAGACTCCAAGGCCAAAGCCAAGCACTAAATCCGCCTACCTCGACGACCCGTACCTGCCGCTCTCTTTCTGGATTCTCCTCCTTTTATCACTTCGCCTCTTTAACTCCTCGACGAATCTCTGACCTCGGTTTGCTGGCGAGAGCGGGAAGAATTGATATATGTAAAATATATGTATAGCGGCGGGTTTTCCTTTTGCATTGATATTCATTAAAATGGCAATGCGCGCGAGAAAAGAGGTCTCCGTGATTGTTTAATGCGTGCATACGTGTCTGTGTACTAGGTTACCCGCTGAGAATGATAGATATCGTGTCGGCATGAATAGACTTTTTTGGCATGGTTCTCCCATACGCAAGCTTAACTTATTTACCTCGTTTATCTCCAAGCACAGATATTGACGGCTTGTTTATTACTACAAACATGGCTATGGTCTGTGGAGCGATAATTTCATTATTATATACTAATGTGAAGAGAAATAGGTACGCCCAGGAAAAAAGGTGAACGTATAAAGACCACGAAAACAACATACCAGAAAACAACGAAAATGCTTTATACCATGAATCCAAACAACCGAACCGAACCAACCATTTAAACCATATCAGGGTTTCAACTCAATACGCCCCTGGGGGTCAACAGGCCTTCCAATCGTCACAGTGGCCTTCACCTGTCTAAGGTTCATGATAATGCTAAACAGCGTGGACTTCGTATTCTCGCCCTTTGCTTGACGACATATTGACGTCGGATATCCCTTCTCATCCTTCAAGATTGCTTCTACCTTCTCAAATGAAGGCTTTGGCCCGCTCTGGCCCAGCAGTTCTCTTAACCTTGCGAGTCGGGCCACACTATCGGGCATGAACATCACGCACTGCACGCCATTCTTATGGTTGTGGACATAGTGATTTGTATGAGTGACGATGTCTGGCCTGCTTTCCATAAAATCACCCATGTTGAGCCATGCTATGTCGGTTGACGAGCACTCGAGACCGGTGCCGCCGGTGTGGTCAGCGATAGTGATATGACATGCCGATGCAACGCCTACTTTTCCAAGTTTGCCAATGGCGTCGACACGCGAGGAACTTTCCAGTGTTAGCCTGAGGGCAAGGTGACAGGGCAGTCTGGTGAAGTCTACGCCTTCTGCCTTGATGGCGTTAAGGGTAACTCCCACGCCTCTTGAGTTGAGGCCAATCTTGCCAATGATGCCAGCTTCAGTGATCATGTGGATAGACGGCTTCGATGTATCTAAGGGAGTGATATGCAGCGCGATGAGATTTGGCGCCTGCTGGTCTTCCCACTGAAGTCACAACAATACATGTTAGAAAGAGGGTATTTGGGTATACACGTTTCTTTGCTGGCCGAGGGTATCAACTTACATCCCAGTTCTGTGCAAGGAAACTCTCACTTGGATTCCGCCATGAAAAGGTTGTGCATCCATCATCGAACATGCCATATGCAATCTCGGTACGCACATTCAACGCCAGAATAGACTTCACGTCAACACCAGCCCCCTGTGCGATTCCTACTCAGAAAAAAGTGTGTCAATAGGCGGCAAAAACCGAGTTATACAGAGCAGAACCTGGAACCGGTGTAACAGAGGTGGCCAGCCCAGCCAGGTCAGAAAGGTAGATGGATATATTAACATGACGGCAGTAGTATAAATAACTAACCTCGTATCTCTTGCATATAGTTTGGAAATGTCGTCTCTAGTAATGGCTGGAACTTAAGCGCTGTTCGACACACTTCAGGCCATCCCATGGATGACCTCTGCTTCAGCAACGTCTTGTAGAAGTCTAAGCTTCCATGTATCTCCTTGGAGGCCTGCTCTCCATGCTGGCGCCCTACCTAGATGTGCAGCAGAAGGTTCAGTATCAGGCGGGTTCGACAAGATGATGAACTGGGGAGCTGGTGGGTGCGAGCGAGTTGATCGTGTGTATGTGTTATCAGCTTACATCGTATGGGCTTCCGTGGCAGACAACGGTGCGCATAGTGACCTCCCCTCTCCCTTCGTCAACGGATGAACGTCGGTGGCTTCGTTGGGACGGCGGTTGTATAGTTAGCTAACCAGATATTGATCAGATCAAGCCCTGTCAGTCAGGCTACTTGAGATCGTCAACAGGGCAAAGAAAAGATGCAGCAAACTGGTCGATATCGCTCGTCTGATACACACTCGGCAAACTCCCTCCTTTCGCCCAGGGCTGCGGGGATGGCAGCTCCTGGACCAATCAGCGGGTCAAGCCAGCGACGACGTTTGGTCCATCGTCCAAGTGTCTTCTTTGTGTCACCGAAATGGAGGTGAAGACGGTGTCTACAGCTTACGGGAAGCGTTTGATGGTGCTTACTACAATGGTTCTTCGGGCTCAGAGGGCTTGCTGCTTCACCGTGGTTAGCTGAATAGCACGCTCAAGTGCAGAATAGGTAGAGCACTCGGCAAGAGGGCATCTCTTTCATATCGGGGCTACAAGCAAATAACCCCTGGTTGACAGATGTTAAAGGTGGATCTCTCAAAAGGGGTAGATGATCAACCGTATGGTAAGGTAAGTGATATTATCTCCATACTCCAAACAAACCATGGCTTACCATACAAAAGATACTCCATATTTGCACATATAATGATAGTACTTAGTACCTTTTTATTCATCTCTTCATCCAGCTCTTCGTCTCATCTTCACGTCGTTTTCTCTCTTTCCATCTTAACTTTTCTCCCCTTAAAAGCAACCGCCGGAAAAATTCAACGTCTCGGAATTTTGATATTCCATTGATTATGTAATACAACACTTTTAGAGCTCTATCGATGAAGCTTTCTGGAGCTTAAAAGTCAAGATAAACAAGAAGACAAAAACAACCACAGACGTCGAATGAGAAGAGAAGCGAAAGAGCATCGCTAGAAACAAGCAGAACTCCCAAATGAAGCCGACTCCCTTCCCGTTCTCATTGAATATTGGCACCGATATCGTCCACATCCCTCGCATCCAACGACTGGTCGCTCGCTCGGGTGGTGTCCGCTAGCTCTACTGCCAACCAGAAGACTCCCCTCTCCAGATTCGTCCGTCGTATACTCTGTGAACAGGAACAGGGTTTACTTCAGGTCCAAGTTCAAGCTGTCTTTCCATTGCGTCTGATGTCCAGCTACCGTCTCAGTCTATAACCCCCCAGACTTCTACAGAAATCGCAAGATGGCTAGCTGGACGGTTTGCTGCTAAAGAAGCTGCTCGGAAGGCTGCTCCTGGAGGCGCGACCAGCGTAAGTTGGAAGGGAGTAGTAGTTCGAGCTGAAGCTGATGGAAATGGACGGCCAGAGGTGGTGTATCTTCGTGAGGGAGAGCCCGTAGGTCACATTGGGAAGCTATCAATTTCTCACGATGGGGAATACGTTGTTGCAACGGTTCTTGCAGCTGCTCCAGAGTCATGAGGCTGTAAAACGCTTGCCATGGGAATGTCTCTATTCCGCAACTGATTCCTTCTTCCCCGTGTGATAATCAACAAATGCATGTGGCCCATATCAAAGCGCCAAGAGCAGACAACTCCCTAGTTATCGGACTTGGAGATATAAATTTTCTGGCATGCTTCCTGCACAAGCTTGGATGCACCTAAAAAAGTACATCTACCGCAAAGAGGAAAATAGCCTTGTCTATATAGCCTGAGTTTTTAGCTGAGAGGATGTGGTTTCTGTCACGCTCACAACTATTTGTGCAATTACGCCATCAAGGGGTAAGGACAGTGGCATCCCAAAGCAGCAATCTTGAGCTGTTTGAGTATACGTCTGGCCGATTCCTGTAAGTTTTATCCGGCACCATGTTTTTGAAATCCAATAGCTGATGAATGACTGTACTGTAGGTTCAACGAGCAGCTTTGTCGTACAGAGCGCCCGCATGCCATTTAATCGTGACGCCCTAGCTACTGCCATATGCCAAGCTACCTGCCGAGCAGAATCTGAGCTTACCTCAATAACGAAGCTCGCAGAAGGTGGTTTCAATAGAGTGCCTCAAGCTACATTCAAGGATGGTTATACCGTGCTCGCCAGGATCCCCTACAACTCGATGGCCCCAAAGAGCTTGGCCGTTGCAAGTGAAGCTGCCACTCTTGGGTTGTTACACGCGCGTGGTTTACCTGTTCCAAAGGTCCTCGGTTATTCTGCAAACAATTTGAACCCTGTTGGCGTCGAATATTTACTCCTAGAAAAAATTGATGGCAGCCCTCTCGGCGATCGGTGGTTTACCATTGGTAACAAGACCCGTGTCAAAATTATGAAGCAAATTGTCGAAGTCGAGACACGACCATTCCGTTCCCCGCAAGTGGCAGCTTGTACTACCGCAAAGATCTTACATCTTCGGAGCCTAATTTGTTAGTACCTGAGCAAACCACTACTGATGAAATTGTGGTTGGCCCCATTGCCCAGTATGAGTGGTGGTATAAGGAACGAGCCTCATTAGACGTGGACCGTGGACCGTGTACTGCAACCAGCCCATTAGCCTGTTTTTAGCCGAAATTGCTAATAATAAGGATAGGGAAAACGTTTTTAAGGTGTTTTGAAGCTCCAGCAAAACGTGAGATCCGATTTTGTGAAGATTTTGGAAGGCCTCGCCTCCACGTCGAGCGGTACTTGCGCGAATTACACAAACTAGAAAAAATGACACCGACTGCCCACGTCCAAATTCTATCGAAATACTTGCAGCTTGCGCCCTACTTGGAGATACCGTCAGAGCACCCTTTCGCTCTGCCAGTCCTCCGACACCCAGACTTTTCACCCAACAATATACTAGTTAATTCAGAAGACGAAATCGTAGGAATAATTGATTGGCAACATGCGGCCATTCTACCTCTTGGCCTGTGCGCAAACATTCCGTCCTACTTCCAAAACTGGGGTGATCCCGTGTCGGAACGGCTTACAAAACCAATGGTTAAGCGCCCTGAGAATTTCGATTCACTGAGCGAGGCCGAGCAGGAATCTATAAAGGAAACAATGCGGAAACAGATAGCTCACTTCTACTATGCCGCCGTGACGATGAACCAACTACCTGATCATTTTGATGCGTTGCGAAATTATAACTCCATGCTTCGTGCAAAGCTCTTCACTTTAGCCGGAGCTCCCTGGGAAGGTGATACTTTGACCCTCAAACATTCAATGATCGAAGCCTGCCAAAAGTGGCCTATGCCCCTCGAAAAAGCTTCATACCCAAATACAGTTGACTGCCCAGTACACTTTACTGAGGAAGAAATGGTCCAATGCGTGACAGACTTTGCACAGGAACAAGAGAAGCTACAAGAGCTTACGAAAATGAGGGCTTGCGCGAATGTCGACTCAGTGGGATGGGTTCCCGATGATGAGCACCTTGAAAAGTCAATGGATATTGTACAAACCATCAAGGCCGGGCTGCTAGAGCATTCTACCACTGAACTGGAGCGAGAAGCTGTGGCCAATCACTTCCCTTTCGACGATCATGACGAAAGACTTTAATCTTGAAGTCCCATTTCTGTGCAGGAGATGTGATCATAGCTGCCTGAAGGATGCAGCGCTTGCTATCATCGTTTTCTTGTACAGCTGTCAAATTATGGGTAAAGCACCTTGGCATTAGAGCGATTATCAGCCACTAAATACTTAATGTATCTGCCTCTTATTGACAGGAGACATCTAACTGACTGGCTCCGGGGCCATTCATTTCTTGACTACCAATTAACGGCCCCTTCTTCTTCTAGCCTCGGACAGCTTCCTAAGGGTACATCTACATCCACCACTGTCTCTTTACAAACAAATAGCTGCACGCAGAGAAGAGCTGCCAATATTGATCAGCACTATATGAGCACCTGCCAAGTATAGCGGACTCTATGATAAGATAGCCACTTATACATATGACTCCATAACTATGCTGTATTATTATGTAGCTGCATAAGAGAGGATCCCCCTGTAGCCCAAGTGGATGCGGCATTCAGAATGATGCATGGTGGAAACAGCTATACTCCGTACATAAGGAGCCTGATCCTATCCTTCCTAGATTTACGATATACATACTCCGTACAGGTCACAGAATATAGCTACAGGTCAAAGAGTTCGACATTCATCTCTTCCGTCTCCGGAACGACAGGAAAGAAACGCACAATGAACTAGGGATGACGCTGGTGAAAGGGAGCAATAGGCTGACCGGTCGACTGGCTATAGCGTATTTCTGTCGCTGGATAGAAGAATCCGGCTAGTTAAGAGCAAGAAGACTCCTTGCAGGGCTCACACGTGGTGAAAAGATGTCTGTCCCATTGGAAATCACAGGCTGAAACGAAGCTGTCTTCGTCAACTCCTTTACTCCGGCTAAACAAGAGCGAGGAGGTGGTTGATTGTTGATATTCAAATGGCTGTCGTGTGGTTAAAGGAAGAAGAAGTTCACATGAAATTGCCGCTGCGAGTCAATATATAATAAGCATATAAGCAGCCAGCGGCTGAGCGTCTCGGCCGGCGATGTTTCAGCAAGCGTACTTTTGCCAAAGACGAGACGGACAGACAGGGAGATAGACGACGGTTCAAAGGCTAGAAGAGAGAGGGATAGGGATAGGAAGATGCCGTTCTCTCACCACAGCCATTCGGGCCAGTTCTGCCCTGGCCACGCCAAAGACCAGCTTGAGGAGACCATCCAGACGGCCATCAGCCAGGAGATGCGAGTCTTCTGCCTGTCTGAACACATGCCGCGGGAGAAGATAGACTTCTACCCGGAGGAGGTGAGTCCGCCGGCGTTCACTGCTAAATATATCTTTGATAACGATATAATTAAACGAGGGGCTAATAACATCGCTTTATTTGACTATCCCAGACGTTCACCGAGGAAGAGTGCATCGCGAGTGAGGCGGCGTACTTCCAGGAAGCGCTAAGGCTGCGCGACAAGTTCAAGCATGTCATCAACATCCCCATTGGCTTCGAGACGGACTGGATACGGCCGTCGTCGCTCTCGCTGATCGAGCGGTCGCTGTCGAGCTTCCCGTTCGACTTCTTCGTTGGCTCTGTGCATCACGTCTACACGATACCGGTGGATTATGATGTGCCTATGTACCGCCAGGCGCGCGAGCTGTCTGGCGGGACGGACGAGCAGCTGTTCGAGGCCTACTTCGACGACCAGCTGGCAATGCTGCAGGCGCTCAAGCCGCCGGTCGTCGGCCACATGGACCTGATCCGGCTTAAGAGCGACGAGCCAGACGGCAGCTTTACGCGGTGGCCACAGGTCTGGCAGAAGATACTGCGGAACCTCGACTTCATTGCTGGCTACGGCGGCCTGCTTGAGCTGAACTCGGCCAGTCTGCGCAAGGGGATGAGCGAGCCGTACCCCAAGGCCGAGATATGCAAGGTAACTTAATAATTTGTCCAACTCTTCTCCTTTTCTTTGTTTGCCTTGGCCCATCCCATCCCATCCCATGCACATGCCTGTCTATTGTTTGACCGTCTAACGGCCGCATCTAGGAGTTCATGGCGAGAAAGGGGCGGTTCTGCCTCTCTGATGACAGCCACGGTGTGGAGCAAGTTGGCCTGAACTACCACCGTGTACTGGCCTTCCTGCGCTCCACCGGTATCTCTACAATACACTATCTCAGATACGACCCCGACGATTCGTGTGCAGAAACCCCGGACTGTCGGTTTCCCCATACTAGGCTGCACAGCCTGAGTGTGGAGGACCTCGAGCAAGAGAACTTCTGGAAACATGTTACTTGTTAATGCAAGTTCTACTATATACATATACTAGACAAGGAAAAAAAGGGGGGAAACTGTCCGTTGTCAGGGAATTATTGGCCCGTCCGGAACAATGCCATGCCTCTTTATCACCTATCTTCCATGTGCCATTAGGTAAAAGAGTTTTTCTAGAGGGCTATCAGAGGCTTCTTTTGGCTTCCATCGGGAGTTTTTTGTTTTTTTTTTTTTCCCTTCCCTCACTCGTTTTTCTTTTTCTTTTTGGCTGTCTCTTCCTCTCCTGACATGGGGCGGCTTCCCGTAATCAAAAGACGTAGCCGCAGTCGCACAGCACAAGAACCCAAGTGATGCACCAACCATGTCGCAACCATGCAGATATCTCGAGTCAATTAAATGTGCGAGAGGCCAACTCAACCCCAAAAAAGAAGAACATCCCTGGGGTATATACATACAACGATAAAATGGATGACCTGGGGATAAACCGCTATCAGGAACGCTACGGTTAGCTCCATCTCTTCTCCGCATTCTGAGGCGAAGAAGACCGTCCTGCCCTTGACTCTTGACCGGCCAACCAGACGGCCCAGCAGGACTCCAGGACAAAGGGCGTAAGAGGTCACGCATTTCGGACGGGAGGGCAAGGGTCCAGTAATGGCTGGTGAGACGGGGGACCATGAATTAGCGAACGACGCCTGTGGGGGAGCAGGGCCGGGGATACGAGGATACATGGGAGGAGCCATGAGCAACCAAGCCGTCACTAGCAGGGTTGCACATTCCGGAGAAGGGTGTCAAAAATGAGAAGAGACGGGGAGGACGAAGGGTGAGAGGAAGACGAGCTGAAGATGCCTTTTGGACGGGCGAGTTTGGCTGATATCAAGAGCCATCTTCCCGCATCGATATCAGCATCAGCATCTCCGTCAGCAACGCCATCGGCATCTCCATCTCTCTGTGAACGGAGAGTCCGACGGCGAACCATCAACCAGCGTTCGAGCAGACATTGCAACCACCGCCGCTGTCGCCGTCCAGGGTTCGCCACCTGCGTTAAGATACCATTTTATTTTGGTACGGTTTGGCCGGCGACAAGCCCTGGGGTTTTCTCTTAGCCTCCTCCGCTCTGCTGCTGCTGCTGCTGCTGCTGCTGCTCATCTTCCTCGTCTTCCTCCTTTCCGACTAGCTGACGGAGTACTTATCTCTTGGAGCATCTCCTCTGTCTCTTGTCGAGACGGAAAACTCTTCTCCCTCTCTTTGGCCGCTGGTGAAAAAAATCTCCTCCCCAGTGGAGATTCTTATATTCGTGCTGCTTAATCTTCCTGACGGCCAAAAAAGCAACGAGCAGCAGAGTCATAAAAAGTCCGTCGTCCCCTCGGCTATATTATTCGGGCGGACTCGAACTGTTGTTATTATTTATCTTCGCTCTTCTCTTCGCCGTCTTCCTCTTCTTCTGCTGGCTTTTCTTCATTGAATGCTGAGAGACGGAGAGCCGCCTTCACGATGGGACGAGCAGACGAGATCACAATGAGCAGCGATGCCTACGCCAAAGAGACCGGCGCTGATATCGAGAAGCACGATGTCGTCACCACACGCGTCGAGCTCAAGAGGAGACTCAAGAGCAGACATTTGCAGATGATCGCTATCGGTAGGATTCCCTTTGCTCTCTCTTCTTTTCCGTTACTGCTTGCATATGCATCCGCCAGCTAACATTTACCAGGTGGTACTATTGGAACTGGTCTCTTTATCGGTAGCGGTTCTGCTGTCGCAAAATCCGGTCCTGCTGGTGCGCTGATTGCCTATGCCTTTGTGGGATCTCTCGTCTTCTCAGTCATCGCCTCGCTGGGCGAGATGGCGACATACATTCCCATTCCCGGTGCCTTCACTTCGTACGCCACTCGCTTTGTCGACCCCAGCTTGGGTTTTGCCATGGGCTGGATATACTGGTTCTCATGGGCCATCACATTCGCCCTCGAGCTCACGGCTACCGGTCTGATCATTCAGTACTGGGCTCCCCACCTTTCTGTGGCCATCTTCATCGGTGTCTTCTGGGCCTTCATTACCGCGCTCAACTTGCTCCCCGTCAATTTCTACGGTGAAGTCGAGTTCTGGTTCTCCTCCATCAAGGTCATTACCGTCGTGGGCTTCATGATCTTTGCCATCTGCGTCAATGCTGGCGTGGGTGACCAGGGATACATCGGATTCAAGTACTGGCGTGAGCCAGGCGCATTCGCTCCCTACTTGCTTGATGTCATCGGAGAGCACAGAGTGTCACTTGGCAAATTCCTGGGCTTCTGGTCCGTCCTGGTCCAGGCCGGTTTCTCCTACCAAGGTACTGAGCTTGTCGGTATCGCTGCCGGAGAGACCCAGAACCCCCGCAAGGCCGTCCCATCTGCCATCAAGAAGACCTTCTACCGTATCCTCTTCCTCTTCGTCCTGACCGTCTTCTTCATCGGCATCCTCATCCCTTACACCAACGAGAACCTCCTCTCCAGCAACACCGATGCCTCTGCCTCCCCCTTCGTCATTGCTGCCAAGCTAGCCGGTGTGAAGGTGCTTCCAGATATCATCAACGCCGTCTTGCTCACAGTCGTGCTCTCGGCCGCCAACTCAAACGTCTACTGTGGCAGCCGTATCGTCGTTGGTCTCGCAACCGAGAAATGCGCACCCAAATTCTTCATGAAGACCACCAGAGGCGGTGTCCCCATCTTAGCTGTCCTATTCACTTCCTCCATCGGTTTCCTGGGTTTCCTCAACCTTTCCAACAACGGTGGAACCGTGTTCGGCTGGTTCCTGAACATTAGCAGTATCGCCGGTTTCATCTCCTGGGCTTGCATTAACGGATGCCACATCCGTTTCATGCGCGCCCTTAACGCCCGCGGCATCCACAGAGACTCTCTCCCGTATAAGGCGCCCTTCCAACCCTTCCTAGCCTATTACGGTCTTGGCTTCACCGTCCTCATCATTTTCACCCAGGGTTTCACCGCTTTCATTCCTTGGAGCACGTCCAACTTCTTCATCGCATACGTCAGCTTGATCCTCTTCGTTGTTTTGTTCGCTGGCCACAAGCTGTGGTTCCGCACTAAGCCCATTGACCTCCTAGATGTCGACCTTGACTCTGGCCGCCTGGAATGTGACGCCGAGCAGTGGGATGATACCGATTATCCTCGTCCCCACGGCTTCCTACCAGCACTCAAATACCGACTCTCACGAATGTTCTGTTAATGCTTTTCTTCCTGTCTTTTTTCTGTCTCTCTTTTCTTGCATACATGTGGTAGCTGGTCGTTATGCTCTTTCATGTCTTAATACATATATCTTCTGTCATGCTTTCTTGGCTGCCTTTACTGTCTATATATCCAGTAAATCTACCTATACATACATATTCAACCGACCCCCATTTCATCTACCAACACCCCGAACCCACTATATCCTGAATGTAGCGCGTTTGTTGATGGACAATCCATGGCCATTTCCATGCAGACTCCACCCCTTAGACCTGATTTTAAGCAGCACCGGCCGCTGGCCCTATGCATATCAGATGCATACTTTATTAGGAGTGCATAATGCCGTCCGATCTGATCGCACAACTAGCTGCTGACCAGCCCTCCCCCTTGCGTGAGATTTACGGGCGATCAATACCGATCACTTTCCAACGGGAGATATAACTATATCACAGCGCCTAAGACGGCCAATTGCACAACTTGAAAGAAATAACAGCAGCGGCTATCAAGAGTTAAAAAAAGATGGCCTCGTATGATAACGTACAAGGAAGATACCCTGGAGTAACATGATTCGGACCCAAGATTATATATATCATATACACTTTATACTTTGATGGGTGAAGCTCCTCAATCAGTCAGCCCCTGAGCCAGGCCTACCCACACGTCTGTGAGAAAGAGATGGACGACAACGAGCAGATCCGGTTCTCTATATGCTAACAGTCTGCACACCACGGAGGCGACCACTAACCTACTACGGAGGCCTCCGGACATCAGGGAGAAAATCCCTTCTGTACCCCATAAGACACACAGCCAATTCGCTTCCCCATCCCTTGTCTTTCCCTCTGCAGCCCCGCAACAAATTCTAGATCCATCTGTCACTATTGAACGCCGATTTGGTATGCACTCAAGCGCCAACCGGGTCCCTTGGTATTCATCCATCAACCCCCGTAGGCGGCAGGGTTGAAACCCCAAATTGCAATAATAACTATTTCCCTCGTTTCCGCGTTTGCGGATTCGATAAAAGGTAATAACACTGCATATTCTAGGTGCAACTTGCGGAAGCGTGATGTATTACCGCTTTTGATTTTAGTTTCAGCTGGCTGCCACCCGCCTCCCGGCCGTGATCTAGAGGCTTCCGTCAAGCATCTTCATGCGGGCCGCGTCTGCGGGTAGAAGGGGGTGGAGGGAAATGAGATGAGCGACGGCGTGACGGGTGTCAAGGGTGCAGATAGACGGCTATAGCAATGTCTATAACTAGTAGTTACGATGATCATCCATCCACTCTATGGGGAAAACAACCAGAGATCAACAATGCTGTGAGCAGTTATATTTGGGCAGAGACAGCAAGGGAGCAACTCAGGTGATGTCTGAGCGCTTTATTACTCGCAGCGTAACGCACTGTGCAAAGGTTAATATCGGAAGACGCCTCGAGGACGCGAGATAACTGTAACTTTTTCCCGTCTAAGTTCATGATGGGGGGTTTCTCGAAAGGCTCCATATGGTGGGCCAAAGAAGGAGAAAACAACGCGAATGCAAGCCAGGTCAGAGTGTAGGAGGTCCAGGCCATGGGAATGGAGGCTATAAATGTGATAACCTCGATTGAAGAGTACGCATTTACTCCTACTAGAGGGACTTGTATACTTGTTTGGTGCAAGACGAGAACCTGTGCATAAACATGTCTGGCCCATTAACTAGATATGCCTGTCCACTTGATGAGGTGGCTTGCATTTGATCCTGGACACTTATGAGATGTTGATACTCTCGTTTATAGACCCCATCATGCGTATTTGTATCTTCGTTTAACCATGAGATCAAAGAATCCTGCAGTTGCAAGCGGAATTGAGGGAGATATCTCCCCGGCTGCTTCCCATGGGATAGTTGAAGATAGGGCGGCGTCACTTCATACATGATAATATATTCTGGATCTGACCGACCAGGGAATATAAATGGGGATGGCGTTTGCTTTTCAGTCCTAATTGATATCGAGAAACCCGTTGCATTCGTATGGATAGTTTGCATGCTGTCAACTTCGTGTATATAACAAGTAGGCCCAAGTGCGGCTCGTATACGCAGTATATCTGCACCTCTGTGTTTCCTTAATCGTGGAGGAAGTGGACATGATAGATTATTGTTCCCTGCGAGACTTCAGGATGGAACGGTGTCCGATGCATGCATACTGCAGCTCCGGACAAAGGGAGAAACTCAGGGGAAGCGGCAGGCTCTTTAGGGTGTAATCAATAGGTTCACTTAGAACATGCATTCTGTTCTTTATCCTTTGCACGAAGCGTGGGAACTAAGTGGAACTTTCGTAGGTACTGAAGCAACGATCTTGGGACGTCGTTTCGCATTGAGAGGCGGCACGCAAGATTTTGGCTCGATCTGACAGTAGTACAGAGTAAATTAGATACCTAAAGAAAGAGGGATTATAGATTTATGAGCAGTCCCTGCCCGAAGATGCCAAATAATCAAGAAGGAAAAGAGGATAAAGCCTGGAGACAGGGAATCACGGATAATCAGGGGAATTGTGGCCCCCCTCCCTCTCCGATTGTTGGAAATCTTTCTAACTTCCCTGTCAGGACAATCAGGCTTCCAGCACATGCCGGGGGCTCAGGAGGCTGGAGAACACGCAAGCTCGGAAGTCTACACAGATCAAGTCAATCGATGTATCTGTACACTTCGGTTGTGGGGAGAGCACGCGCAGGTGGCCCCGAAATAGAGAAGCGGTACATGCTATGGCCCCTCCTCGGAATCAGCTTAATCGATAACTAGCTAGCTAACTAGTTAGTCTTTGGGTTACCACAAACTAACGATAGGAGCAGCGTGTTTTTTATTTCTGCCACGATTCTTTTTGTAGGGGCCATCTGTAGATCATGGTGAAGGGGGGTCCGTGTGACCAACAGCTAAAAATGGAGAATCATCTCCAGTGAAATCGTACAATCGGCCATGGATAGGTGCATGGATTGCACACCTCAGCGAATGTTGCAGGCACCGATGTGGATGCACAAATGGTTGGAATTTCATTTTCGTTTTCGTTTTTTTTTCTTTTTACTCTTCTTCATGGTTGCCTGTTTATCCTAGCTTGGAATGCTTTCCCTAGTAGCATGATGACATTCCGGTCCATACAGATGTTGATGATAAGGGGTGGCGAGCTGTTGACTGCGACTCCCAATCGCTTCTGTGACTGCGTCAACTGGCGCATGTATCCGGCAACTGGGGTGCGATTTTGCCAAGGGCCCGGGGTTAAGTCGATATGTCTGGTCGATACGATGAGCGACAGATGTACCCCCAAGAGGATCCGGCTGTGGGTGTGTGTTCTCAAACATCTTTTGCTCTTCTTGACTGGCTTGTGACTTCCGCAACGAAGCCCCCTGCCACAGTCCAAAAACTAAAAATATCAAGTGGATATCGATCTAGAACGCCCAAGGTCAGTTCTCATTTTTATACTCCGTCCAGCGTACAAAAAAGACGCGAGAAGAGCAAATCATGGCCGGTGGGGAGGGGCGGCAAGCTTCAGCGGCTCCAGTGAAGGACGAGACACGGGTGTAGTTAACCAGAAAGAAAGCAAAAGAGACGGGAGACGGATGGATGCAAGACAGCTAGGACTACACGATCGAAGTGTGATTGCGACTGGTGCTACTCGCATCCCGCGACTTGAAGGCTACCTGGTCGGTACCTCTTGTTAGATGTTTGCAGATTCCCGTTCCCTGGGTCCGAAAACAACCCCCCAAAGCAGTCGACAATGCATGGGCACAAGCACCGTAAGCACCGCAAGCACTGCAAGCACCGTCGATGGGACTTTGCTTGCATTCTCAAATCAAGACCCGAGGGGGGTCGAAGAAGCACCACCTACAGTAGCGTGATTAGCGTGCGTAACTTAGTTAGCGCTGGGCGCGGGCATCGAGTACCATTCGTCAACATTGGGGTAGGGATCCGCTGGCTGGCGTATAGAGCATCTTTTTCCAGTGTTTCCTAAGTGTCTCTGAGCGTCTCTGGGTGTAGGTGGTGTAGGTGGTAGTTTCGTAGTTGGTGTTGACGCTGTTTGAAGTCGAGTTGAAGTTGAAGCTGAAGTCGTTAAAAAGAAAAAGAAGCGCTGGGGCCTCCGCTTGTTCCCAAAGAGGAAATAAGACGACGTCCTCAGCGTCAACCAACCTTCGGCTCGAGACAAGCGGAAACAACAACAACAACAAAAACTACAACAACAACAACAACATCACCATCAACATCGATGTCGACGTCGACTTCGCTTTTGTCTTTTGACCTGCTCGGCAATGACTTGCACAACCAGCCGGATGCGTGTATATGTCGTGGCCTATGGCCGTGGACGGATCGATCAACACGCAAAAAGGAAATAGAGGCTTCAGGTAGAGTTGAGTTGAGCTGGCGTGTGATCCCGTTTCAAGGCTCTGGTTAACGGCTGACGGTTTGGAGCAGGTAGCAAGGCTGCAAGACAGCAAGACATCGTTGAGTAGACCGGACGAGTATCCTGCCAGGGACATGGGACAACCTCCACCACAATGCTCCGGTGATGTGGCAGCGTTAACGACCTCCCTCTAGGCTGGATGCCTATTCAGTGTACAGAGTGTGTATACATACTCGTTATACATCGATAGCATCTTTGGATGGGGCTGATATCCCCCCCATATTCTAGCTTGGACGAAAAAAGCAATTCCCAATTCCCATCCTCCAGTGGGATATTCTCATCTAGAGCTTCAATTTTCAATCCCACTTGAACAGGTGCTCTGCTTTTTTCAACTCTAATAAACGGTTTGCCCGACTCTCCATCCGTCTTTCGGCCTCTCAAAGGCTCACATAACTATCGACCGACCCACTGATAGCATCTGTGCGAGTACTCGACATCTTCTTTTGCGCTTTCCCTCGCACACGCACCCCCCTTGGAAGACTTCTTTACCGATAGATATCAGCTCCAGGGTGGATTCCCGCCTGGAACAAACGAAAATAGGATTGTGTATGTGCCTTATCCTAAACCCTGCGGCTGTTTGACTAACTAAGTATGTAAGTTACTGTCGACTTGCCCCAGACTTTTGGCTTTCAGCAGGTGGGCGCCCATCCACCCAACCCGCCGCGGCCTGTTCCCTGTCATTCGCTCGTTACGTATCCAGCATGAATCTGAATATCTAGACAAAAAAAGCGAGACACTGCAAAAAAGGATGGGCAACTGAAAAAATAAGAAAAAAAGACCGAGCCAGGCATGAGAGCAAGACCAGAGATATATAGAGTAGCGTGTCGCCTGGACCTCTGGCTCCATCGTCATATCTTTAAAGCTCACTCCCTTCCATCCCTTCGTTCGTCTCTCTCATAAGTTTGCATCACATCTCGTTGTAGCGCGTGAGCGTTCAATTGACCCAGGCCCCCTAGAAAAATATACACCTTCCCTTCCCTGAAGCATCCGGCTCCCATCATCTAATTGCCTCTCAATCTGTTCGCCATTTCCCTCGCTGTATACTTGCCTTAATCCTTAATTATACTCGCTGTCGTTTCCCAGCACTTCCTCCTCGACTATCAAGGAAGAGAGAGTTTCCCAATACCCACGACTCCTACGACGACCGAGGACACCCAAATCGATACTAGCAATCACCTCTTGCGACGGCAGGATAGCCAGAATGGGTGTTACCAAGACAATTCTTCGAAACGGCAACGGCGTCGACCGGCCTATCAAAGGGGATGAAGTGATAATCGACTACCGTGGCTGTCTCTACGACCCCAGCCGATCGACACAATATAACATGGGCAAACAGTATGTCAACCCTCTATCTTCTCATGTATAAATTGTCTTGTCCATGGGGGATTAAAGAAGAGGAAGAAAAAGCCCAATGAATTGAAATTGAAAAAACAAAAACAAAAACAAAATAAAACCCCAAAAGACTTGGCCGTGGATAGTCGAAAGCTCATGCATGTTCGCTTTGTTTCCAGGTTCGATTCGTCACAAGATCGAGGAGAGTTCAAGACTCCAATCGGTATCGGCAAGGTCATTCGAGGTATGGAGAGACACCGATAGATGCTGGCTGGTCCTGCTCTTGCCCAGTCTTGTAGTCCAGCACAGCAGACATTCGCGTTGTCCAAGTCCCTAACCTCAGCCTTCTACTGCACAGGATGGGACGAAGGCGTGATGAACATGACAGTTGGCGAGAAGTGCATATTGACCATTAGCGGGTAAGTATTTAATAACTACAAAATGAACTGGCATATCCTCATCTCCTTTTGCGTCCACGTATCAAGGCTAACAACGATTGGCGTCTAGGGACTATGCATACGGCGACCGGTATGGCTTTCCCTCTCCTTTTCGGCCTTGTTGTTTTCCCAAGCGGCCCCTTTTTGCCAGCACTGTCTCCCCCTATTAGGCCGGTCCTCAGCTCTTCTCTGACCACACAGTGGGATTATAAGAGAAAGGGCGGCAAATGAAAAATAGAGAGGAGACAATGCCCAACACGACGAGTTACATGTGTCAGGCTGCGTGGCGTTGATAACAACTAATTCGCTGATTCTTGTGGTCTGTTTTCTTAGTGGCTTCCCCGGACTAATACCACCGAACTCTACTCTCGTCTTGTAAGTTCTACCAGATGGCTTCCTTTTTTGCCCTCCGTTCTCCAGCCTTCAAAGAAGTCGAAGAGAAACATCCATTTCCCCAATCCGTTTGCTTGATTTGCCTTATCCGAGTTTCCGCTGCGTCGATGAGCTGTTTTTACCTGCCTGCCTGCCCTTGCTCCCTTCCCCCGTTTGTCCTCCATACCGTATCCCACCCCTCGATACCTGCAGCCTGCATCCCTTGCTGGGTCCCCGTCTGCATCTCGCATTGGACGACAACGCGGACGCAGCAAAGCGTCTTGGGGGGGTTGCTATCCTTGCCTGTTCACGATTTTTCAGTCGTGTCGTCCTTCAGTTTTTTCTTTTCACATTACGGGGGGTTCTTTCATTCGACGGAGAATATACCATGATCTCCCCGAACTGAACCCGCACCCTTTTTTCTTCTTCTCCTTCGTCTTTCCCCTTCTTATTGCTCTTTTATACCCTTCCTACCTGTGTTTTTTGCACTTTTCCCGATAATACCTCGTCTTCGTCTTCCTTTTCCCGGCCGTCCCCTTTCATCCCGTCTCCCGTGCATGTACGAAATACGCGCCTGTGATCCGCTTTTTGAACATTTATCCCGACCCAGGGCATCCCATACTGTTTTTTTCTGGTGCATTTGCTTACGATCAATCCATCGTTACAGTGAGGTCGAACTCAAAGGCATCAGCAGACGAAGCTAAGCCAGTTAGCAAGCCGAGGAAGGATCTCGGAAAGGCAAGACTGCGTCCCGCCGCATGGTCATCGCTGGCCAGAATGATCTTCGACGAATAATCCTCGCCTTAAGCCTGCTACCCGCGCAGGTTGGCTTGCTGTCTTCGTCGTGTACTCCTGCCACTCTTCTTCTACCCCTGGCCTCTTCTTCCTTGGCCGTCCGTCCCATGGATGGTTTTCTCTTCTCCTCTCATTCTTCTCCTTCTCTTTTATAACTTGCTTTTTTTATAGTATTCCTCATGCTTATGCTGCGATGACTTTTACGTTCTTCCGTCTCTCCTTACATACTTTCATATCTTCCCAGCGAATGGTTTGACTTCCCTTCTTGTTTCCTCTTTCCTCGACTGGTTCCTTTTTTTTTATTACTATTCTTTTACATTTCGAATACTGCGTGCTCTGGTCATTCTACTCTTTGATTCTTATTTTTTTCTCTTTTTTATCCGTCTTCGAAGAAGAAAAGCGCGCTCTGTTTGATGACTTAACCATCCTGTGCTTAATACACATGAATTAATGACCTTCTTACCACCGCCATTCCACCTAAAAGCGTTACCTAAGTACAAGCTGGAAGGGGAGACATCTTGGCCGCCGATGGCAGTACTAAGAGATATATATTGAGTTGATAGGCTATTAAAATGAGTAGAGTATATATACAATAACTACGAGTATTGCCAATTACCTACCTAGGTACCTAGGTAGGTAGGTAGGTATCTAAAAACAAAGCTAATCTAATCATCAGATGTACCATAGGGGAAATAAGGGATTTGATAAACCCTTTTAAGTGTGAAAGCTTTCCTGTTCCTCACAATTAGATTTCACACCTTAAAGGGTTTATTTAACTCCCCTATTTCCCGTTAGGTAGCTGGGTAGCTGGGCCACGGCTAGCCTGACGTGTGGCATGTCATGCTGCACGGCGTAGCAAGTAGAGATATGGCGCCAGAACTCATCTCTAGACCAAACCCGCATAGACAGCGCATATAACGCCTCGATGGTTTCGAACCCATCCGACACACCAGGCACTAGCTTCGAACAGGCCTCTTTATCCAGCATGCCTTGCAGATACCACTTGGCTAGCTTAGAACAGCCTTGACACCAGAACGCTTCCACGGTATTCACACCCGCTGCTGCTAGTGGTAGTTTCGAAGACGAAGGAGGTACCATGCTGGCATCAGGCCAAGGTAAAACCACGCTTTCTCTAGCCGCAACGCCCAGATCACCAAGTAGACGAACAAGGTACTCTGCTATCTCCTCCCACCAGCCGGTAGAAGCTAGCAAGGACGGGGTGAATGGGGTGCACGGCGCATCACGTAGGAACTGCATCACGTAGCCTTCCATTAGACAGGAAGCGCGCATTCCACCCTGGGTATGGAGGCGGTATACTTCCTCCATGGACCCATGCACGCTCTCTGCCAGACGACGAGCGTCTCGCACAGACACGCACGGCTCAGGCTTACGCTTCTTCTTCTTCCAGGCTTCACCTGTACATTCGCTATTGTCTGTGGTGTCTGCGTTGGCGTTGGCGGTGGTGGTGGCATGTTGGAAACGTACCAGGGGAAGCTTCGCGGTGGACGAGGCACTGAGCTTGAAACAGCGTCTGGCGAGGGAGAGCGGAACAAGCCATAGGCCCGGATTCATGCGTAGACAGCTAAAGCATACTCGTTGGGCAGAGGGGAGGTAGAAATGCGTTGCTCGCGTGGACTGGTGGCAGGACGAGCAAGCGGTGGATATCAGTGCCTGGTAGATGGTGAGTGTTTGGTGATGTGATAGTAGATGGCACAGGGCGAGCTGTCGGAGGGCTTCTGGGGCGTGGGCGAGCAGGACGTTGTAGATGTGGAGGGATGAGACGACTGATTTTGCGCGTAGCGAGGTGCGGGCGAAGCGTAGGAGGGTGAGCACGTCTGTTCGTTCGAGGATGAGGTGTAGGAGCTCGAGGGGGAGGGCGTCGAGGGCGCCGATGGAGGATGTGGATGCTGCTGTTTCTTCGCGGGGGAGGGGAGTGGATGGGATGGGAGGCGGGAGGGTGTAGCGGCTGATGGAGAAGCCGTACGAGAGGTGCGCGAGGAGCGTCTCGTGCGTCCACTCTGACATCCTGTCTCTCTATCCAGTGTCTATGTCTCTCTATGTCTATAGATGTAGTAGTTATTGGTGGTGGTGGCTGTCGGTTCGGTTATTTAGGCGATGTTTTGGTGATCTGCCGCCGTCGTTATTATTCATTTACTCTAATCCCGGCCGTCTCAGCCTCATTACTCACTCGTATCACTGCCTCGTAGTTAAGTTAAATTGCCAGGATTCAAAGGAAAGTATTTTTGATTGTTGCTATTTCTGCTTCTTCTTCTTCTTCTTCTTCTTCTTCTCCACTACCCTACATATAATATCTACATATTATACTATACATACACAAGAAAAGGCATGAGTGAATGTCTGCCTATAATATATGTACATAGATAGCCATGAAGGGTAACTAACTAGGTATATGAATAAAAAGTAGTAAAAGGAAAGTCAAAAAGGGCCGGTGGCAAGGCAAGAAAGGTATCGGGAGCGAGTAAAATAACTAAGTAGAAGCGGGTAAGATGGCTGGGTTGATATTGCGTAGAATAAAGCACCTGAAAAAGGGGGAGAGCAAAGGGGAGCGAAACGGCAAAGGCAGAATTGAGCTGGAGAGACTCGACAACATACGAAATTGGGCAGGGTAGGGAAGGGTAGGGTACGGGGGGTGGGTGAGGTAAGAAAGGGGTCGGGTACTGCGCTGGTTTGCCGGGCAGTTTGATGTCTGCGTCTGTTAGAAGACTGTTGTTGTTTTTTTTCTGGATCAGGGAGCGTGTGATGGTACAGTTAAACAGGCAAGCAAGTAGGCAGACGTAGGGAACGGGACGGTCTTTGGCTAACCAGAGTACACGGGACGGTGTAGTTGACGGCGACGGGGGCGAACCAGGGGGTGGAGATGAGATGGAGATGGAGATGGATATCCAGCTGTCTATAGAAAGAAAAGAAAAAACGTCGACACGTAAAAGCAAGTAGCAAGGCGTATGTAACTAGGCAGACGGGAGATTAAAGAGGAACGGCATGCATAGATGGGCTCTCTTGGGGGGCTGCAGCAGCGGCGGCGGCAGGCGAGTGGGCGGGCGGGCGACAAGACAAGGCTAATAGAATTAATTCCAGCCAAGGGAATTTTCAGCCATGACAGGCGCACTGATCTGCGCTGTCCGACCGCTGCCAGCACCCGAGTGTCGGTCATTCATGCTAGCCGTGCCCGCGAACGGACTGCCAGCACGTTGCTCGTCATGATAGGGGACTGGGCTGCTCATGCTGGTCAGCGAGTCCGATCGACGGTGCAAATTGCGTTTCTTTCTGTATCGGCGCGCAACGAAGAACATGGCTGCTCCGTACAGGGCAGCTCCACCCACAACACCCAGGCCAATGCCGACGGCAGCTGGTTTGACGCCGGTTGCGCCAGCTGAGCCTCCGGGACCTTGACCTGTGTTGTTGTCTCCGCCGTTGGAACCGTCACCGCTGCCGCCATCGCTGCCTGAGCCGGGAGTGCCACCGGGGGTGCCTGGGCTACCGCCTGGACCAGGATAGCTTGAGCCTCCTGGAAGCAAGGGGATGGTTGGGTCGATCATGGACATGACGGTGCGGACTGACGGGTCTGGGTTGGTGTAGAGTCTGGACACGGGTGCGGTGAGGGCGCTGGCGAGGACCTGGTATGTGTCCTTGGGGATGTGGACGAGGACAACGGCGGTGGTGTAGCCCTTCTTGGTGCCTCTGTCGTACTGTGCGATGCCGGAGATGGGGGTGAGGGAGGCATCGACTTCGACAGCGTAGGACACGCCCTGGGGCACGTACTTGAAGAGCTGGCTGACGACGTCGGTGTTTCCGGCGATGAACTCGTAGGAGAGCGAGGCGTTAAAGCCCAGCTGGATGAGGATCGAGTTTGGCGGTGGTGGCTGGGCGTTGGGTGGTGAGATGATGTATGGCAGCGGCTTGGGAGACTGGGTTGCGGTGGCCGAGGTGGTGGTGGTCGAGGTCTGGACGATGATGGAGGTTGGCACAGAGAGGCTGGTCTCGGAGTTGGTAGAGATGGGGACGGTGGTGGTGGGAGTGGTTGGAGTTGGCGAGCTGGACGGGCGGGTGGTGATGGTCATCATGGTCGAGGGACGGTCGGTGGAGGTCTCTGAGCCAGACCTGGAGGTCTCTGTGGCCGTGGGATGGGAGTAGGTGCTGGAGTCCGAAGTGCCAGTGGGAGTAGAGGTGACGCCGGTTCCGCTGCTGACGGTGGATGAAGGGAACATGCCGGTGCCGCTGGTGGTTGGCGCAGTGCCGGTAGAAGTCGAGTCGGTGCCCGTTGGGATTGAGAGTGACGGGAAGGTGACTGAGGTAGCCGTCTCGGTTCCAGTAGATGTTCCAGTGGCAGTTCCAGTAGTTCCAGTTGCAGTTCCAGTGGATGCAGTATCGGTTCCGGTAGCAGTGCCAGTGCCAGTGCTGGTAGCCGTTCCGGTGGAAGTACCAGTGCCATTTTTTTTTTTGAACGGTAGTAGGAGTGGCAAGTAGGAGCGGTTCCGCTGCCAGGGCCGGTGACGGTAGCTGGGTCGCCCGGTGGGAGAGTAGGTAGGGAACTCGGTGCCGGTCGAGAGGGAAATTGGAATGGGAGATGGAAAACGGGGGTTGGATGGAGAGCTGGAAGCGGGTTCCAGTCTCAGTTCCAGTCTCAGTTCCAGTTGCAGTCCCAGTTCCAGTAGCAGTGGCAGTGCCAGTAGCAGTACCGGTAGCAGTGCACAGTTCCAGTCTCGGTGCCGGTAGCAGTTCCAGTGGCAGTAGCAGTATTAGTACCAGTAGCAGTACCAGTAGCAGTCTCAGTACCGGTGGCAGTCCCAGTTCCGGTAGCGGTACTATCAGAGGGCACTGGGAGGAGGGTAGGGAGTATGCCAGTGCTCTCAGAGGTAGAGCTGGGGACAGCACCGGTGCCAGAGCCTCCACCCGTGTAGGTCATGCCTCCGGTGGCAGAAGTAGTAGGGATGGTGGGTGCTTCAGTTGGCTGAGAAGACTGGCCGGGAGGAGTTGGCTGGCTGGACTGGCCAGGCTGGCCGGTCTGATCAGATGTGGTGGGCCGGCCGGCGGTAGGGGGAGCAGAAGGAGACGAGGCCGTGGGGAGCAGAGTGGGCAGGGGGATGAGAGTGCTGTCTCCGGTGGGTGGTCCAGTGTGGCTGACTCCCTCTGAAGGGCTCATGGAAGGCATTGAAGGCATTGACTGCGTTGGCGGCGTGGATGGGACGGTAGTCTGGGTGCCATCGGGGGTGGTTGCAGGGGTAGTGGCGGGAGTGGATGGTTCCTGAGAAGAGGCCTGAGTAGGAGGAGTCTGAGTAGGAGCCTGGGTTGGCATCGACTGAGGCTCAGAAGACGGTACCTGGGGGGGAGTCTGTGGCTGAGAAGAGGACGGTGCCTGAGTAGGGAGCACGGTAGGGAGCACGGTGGGGAGCAGTGTAGGAGCCTCGGTCTCAGGGGTCGTGGCAGGCTGAGAGGGCGACTGACTTGGCTGGGTCGGCCCAGTAGACCCAGTAGGTTCAGTAGATCCAGTGGGTGCAGTAGGTGCAGTAGGTGCAGTAGGCTCCGTGGGCATCGACGGCTCCGTAGGTTCAGTGGGCTTGGTTGGCTCAGCGGGTTCAGAGGGTTCCGTGGGCGTTGGGGCCGTTGGAAGCAGGGTCGGTGCAGATGGCTGCGAGGGCACCGTGGGAGTCGGCACCGAGGGCGTAGGCTCACTAGGACTTCCACTGGCGCTCTCACTTTCGCTTGCACTGGAAGAACCAGCTGCAGTCGTCGTGGCAGTGGTGGTAGCAGTGGTGGTTGCGTTCCCCGTTGCGTCGGTGGTGGTAGGCTGGACGAGGGCGTTGTAGGCATGGGGCGCCCCGTCTGGCTGGCCGGTGAGGGTGTGCAGGCTGCCGTCTGGCGCCCGCTGCACGGTGACGGGGACGACTACGACCTCGCGCCTGTCCATGTCGACGGTCTCCTCCTTGCCTGCCTTCTTCAGGCCCCATGGCGTGCGGTCGAGGTCTCGCTTGACGAGGCGCGGGAAGTAGTGCTGCGGTCTGTTGGCGTGGCCGTTGGCGGCAGGCAGGTCGCCCAGCGCTTCGACGGCCACGGCCGCGAGGAGGGCAGCGGCGGCAAGGCGCATGGCTCGTTTCCCTCCTTTTTCTGTGTCGTCGTCCTTCTTCTGCTTCTGATTATTAGGTGTGTACGTGTATGGTGTATTATAAGGTTGTATTAAGATGGGGGTGTTCGTAATCTGTCGCTGGTGGTTGAAAGAGCGTGGTGGACAGAAGTCCGGTAGAGAGTGAGGCCGCTGTCTCTAGGTCATAACAACTGCAGACGAGTTAGCAGACAGAAGACGGCAGACAACAGTCAATGAGACGGAAGATGCAGTAAGAAAGATGATAGAAGAGATAATAGAAGAGGGCGAAAGAAGAGAAGCGAAGAGAATCCAGGGTCCAGGGTCAGGGTCGAAGGCTGGCGGAAGGCTGAGCAGGCTGAGCGATGGAAAGACACGACACGAAGACGGCGAGATTCTTTCTCTTCCTCTGACTCTCTTCTCTTGTTTGTCTTCTTCTTCTCCTCTTCTCTTCTCCGTCTTATGGCTGATGATGATGATGATGCGAGTGTTAGAGAAGATGCAGGAGGGATGCGCGCTTACTTGCGACCGTCTTTGTCAGTGACAGCGACAGCCAGGAAGGACAGACAGTCAAATAGCGACAGCGACAGCTAGACAGCGGGAGAGAGAGCGTAAGCGTCCGAGGACAAACGAGTGTAAAGACGAAAGCGTCTATGAGTGTGAGAGCAAAGAGTAAAGAGTAGGAGAGTAAAGAGTAAGAAGAAGTAGTTGGAGATAGTGAGAGACGAAGCGAAGAGACTCGGACTCTAGTGAAGGTAAAACGGACAAAAGTAAAAAGGAGAAAGAAGAAATTTACTTACTCTTTCACCCACAGTCGGTCACTTGTACTCTCACTGTGCTACTTCTTCTGCTACTTCTGCTTCTACTGCGGCCAACTAGTGCGACCCGCCGGCGCTTCGAGAGTGTCAGACAGAGAGAGACAGTAAAAGACAGACAGACAGACAGACAGATGAAAGAGAAGAAGAAAAGAAAGAAAGAAAGAAAGAAAGAAAGGAGAAAAAGACGGCAGGACAAGGACACAGGCAGGACAAGGCTCAGTCGACCCCAGCGAGTCAGTCAAGTGAGTCCAACGTCTTTCTCCTGCTGTCTTTTTTGTCTCTTTCTCTTCACCTGCAGGAAATACGAAGAAACCCCTGATCATTAACTAAAAGTAAAGACGAAGAGCAAAACTTCCTTCTTCCTCCACTTTTCGACCCCCTGGCTACTGTTAGTTGCCTGCGTTAGCGGCCCCCGCAAGGCGTGGCTGGCATTTCGGTTAGAAGTTGGACAGCTGTCGGACGGAGAGCGAGGGAGGATTACGTAGGGGTAATTACTGTCATACACAGTGGTAGAGGTTGGTAGCAGTTGGTGGTGGTGGTAGTTACTGGTGAAGGCGTTACTGGTGGTGGTGGTAGTGGTGGTGAATAGGGGTAGAGAAGACGGGAGGGACGGTAGGGACGGTAGGGACGGAGAAAAGACGGGCAACCCTGTGGTTAAGAGGTGATAGTATGAAGGATCCGGCCATGGATGAACTAATAGACTCATGTACGAGCGGGTGAGTTGGTGATAGTAGGTTGACAGTAAGTAAAAGTAAAGTCAGGGGTCGCCTGTTGGTGTTGGCGTTGGCGTTGGCTCTGGCTGTACAAGTTGTGTTATATCAGAAAGGTGCTATACATAGACCAGCCACGGACACACAGACGGCGACAGAAACAGAAGAGCAAAAGAAGAGTAAAGGGCTAGAAGTGGTTGATCCAGAACCGGAGGCCCTCGACGCCCTGCTCGCGACACAGCAGGCCGCGCTCCTCTGCCATCTCTAGCTCCTCGCTGGCCACTCCGAGGCTCCAGCCAAAGTGCTCGCCGGCTTCCTGCGCAGTGACTCCCCGCCCAAACACTGCACTAGTAGAAGAAGAAGAAGAAGTAGCAGTAGTAGCAGTAGTAGTAGTCGTGTCTTGGAGCCAGGTGGAGAGCTGGTGAAGGGTCTTCTCGTCCGTCCAGTCGGACCGCTGCACGACCAGGAGACCGCTCTTCCTGAACCGGCGCAAGCGGACTGGCAGCCGGAGCACCTCCCACTGCTCGGCTGCAGAGTGGAAGTCTCGCGGACTCACGAGCTCGACCCCGTTGCGCGCTCGGTTAAAGGCAGCCCACACGTCCACCAGGCTCATGATGCCGCCCGCTCGACGCAGCAGCCCGCGACCTGCACCTCCTCCTCGCTCGTCCGTCAGGTACTCGGCCAGGTTGCGAGAAAGCTCGGTCACGTACAGGCTGCTGCTACTGCTGCTGCTGCTAGTCAGTAGCTGCTGCTTGGTCGTGATCATCCCGAGGGCGGCGGCGGCTGCAGACTGGGACACCATTTCTTCTTCCTCGTCTGTGACACCGGCGTCGTTTCGTCGCTCTCGGGCAAACGTCTCGGCCAGCGCCACCACCTCCCGGGCAGACGCCATCAGCGCCTCGAGATCTTCAAACGCTCCTCCGATCACTGCCTCGTTGTTGCGCCGGGTCTCCAGTCCGCGGCGCTCCAGGCCTGCTATCCCGGCCGCAGTCGTCTTTGTACTAGCACCACTAGCAATATTGTTGTTTGTGGTGGTGATACTATTATTATCCATGGTGTCTACCTTTGGCACCGGAGGAGCGTCCTGGAGAATCCACTTGCGTTGCACAAGAGCCCCCCTCAGTCGCTCGTGGAACACCCGCTCCCCGCCGGCGCGAAAGGAGAGCTTGACACACTCGCCGGCTTCCTTCCCTTCCAGCCTGGAAGCTGGTCCAAAGGGTGCAGGCGAGTCAGTCCGCGATGACGCTCCCCCTCCTCCTCCTCTGGTCATGCCACCATTCCCGCCGAGACTGGCACCACATATCTCGCATACTTGCAGCGACGGATGGTTGGCAAACGTGCACCTAGGACATACCTTCGAAGTAGAAGACGCAGAACCAGTAGAAGTAGAACCAGTAGAAGGGGAAGCAGCAGCAGCAGGAGTAGTACTCGACGAGGTAGACGCTGAGATGGCTGCCTTGAGCAAAGTGGTCAAGGGAGGCCGGATGCCGCATGCCAGACAGGGCGGGATGGCCGTCGACGCAGCCAGCGCAGGATCAAAGTTGGACGGCACCGGATTCGAGAACGAGCAGATAGGACACACCCACGTCGCCGTCCTCGCTTCACTCTTGACGTTCTTGGCGGCATTCGTCGGTGTTGATGCCGCCGTAGAAGAAGTGCTGGTGCCGGTAGAAGTGGGTGCTGCACCACCACCTACTCGTCTGCGCGGCACAAGACTGATCTTGGGCGACGACCGCAGAAACCTGGCCTGTAGAAGTGGTTAGCCGTCTCATCATAAGTCCTAAGTCTGTTGTGGTAGATACCTGAAAGTCGATGCGGTCGACGTCTTTAAGGTCGATGCCCACCGAGCACCCGCGGGGGTCCTCTACATCAACATAGCATATCCGGTGCGAGGTCAGGTAGGCATGGCCGTTCTGGTACTTCGGTATCTTGTATTTACTACTCCAGTCAGCACTACTATTCTATCTCTATGGGCATATATAAATAAAGAAAGAGAGGAATACCCATCGTAGAGCCCAATGGCGTCCTGGACGAAGAGGAGCGTCTCATCTGGCTGCAGGGACGGGCGGAGGGCGGTGGTAAGGTCGACTGGCTGGAAGAACATCGAGCACCATCTTCTATGCCGAGACACTCACAGCCAGAGCAACCTGATATTCACAGTCTTAAGTCCTAAGTCTTATAAGTCTTAAGAGGATGAAGCCTTGAGATCGTAGTAGAAGCCGTCGAGTCGTTAAAGATGTCGGAGTCGGAGACAAAAGACGCTAAGCCGGAAAAGGAAGCGAAACCACAAACTTCGACTTCACCAACTTCAACTTCAACTTCAACTGCTTGACTTCTAACATCTTCATCCCATCATCGTTTATCTGCTATTTCCCTTCTATTCCCTTCGTCATCTCCATCTCATCTCCTCTAGACACACGATGAACACGGCATGGCGAGCGTCCGCTAGTGGTAAGCAGCCTCTCTGTCGAAGTGACGTTCACTTCACCCTGACTGACCGACTCCTTAGGACCGACGGCTCCAGCGTACACTCCCGTCCAGGCACGGCGGACTCTGGCTCGCAACTCATCTCACGCAGTTTCTTCTTCCATGACTACTATGGCTACTATGACAACGACTACGACCACGACTATGGCTCCCTCTGCAACTTCAACAGAGTCGAGGAAGCGGGTGGAGTGGCCCCCGGCGGTGCGAGACTACGTCCAGCGGTGCTTTGTGCCCGAACAGCAGATACCCGGCATCACTCGCTCAGAGATGGAGGCCAAGCTGAAGCAGGTCATCACCGGCGCCGCAGAGACGAACCACCTCGAGTCCATCGACTGGGCCAGCCTGCCCTTACCACAACAGATGATCCAGACCGAACGTAGCGCCGCCCTGACATCCGTCACCAACCAACTGTCCTTCCTGCAGCCGGCCAGGACCTCGCCCAAGAGGAAGTCGACAGATATCTCAACAGACGTCTCCGCAGGAACACAGCTCGACAGCAGTAAATCCCAGGCAAAGGCAGAAGCAGCAGCAGCAACAATAACAACAACAACAGCTTACCAGGAAGTACCGCCGTGGAGGACGCACTCGGAGGACAAGCGCAGACGCCTGGAGAATGACGGGTTAAACAGTAAGTCTAACAGCCATAACCACAACCACAGCCACCACCTGGAGAGCAGGAAACGACGGTTTGAAAGCACGTCGTCCCCCACCAAGGTCAAGTCCCCCCAGTCATCCTCATCCCCATACACCCAGACATACACAAGCCAGAGCTCCAGCCGGCACGCGGGGGCCCATCGTCGGCCGCAGCACGGAGCTGGAGAAGCGGTACCTGCGCCTGACCGCGGCCCCGAACCCGGACAACGTACGCCCGCTGGCCGTGCTGCGCAAGACGCTCGACCTGCTCAAGCGGCGGTGGAAGCAGGAGAACAACTACGGCTACATCTGCGACCAGTTCAAGTCGATGCGGGCAGGACCTGACGGTGCAGCACATCAAGAACGACTTCACGGTGCTGGTGTACGAGATCCACGCGCGCATCGCACTCGAGAAGGGCGACCTCGGTGAGTATAACCAGTGCCAGACGCAGCTGCAGGGCCTGTACGCGCTGAACCTGGGCGGCGGCCATCCGATGGAGTTCAAAGCGTATCGTATTCTCTATTTCATCTACACCCGCAACCAGACGGCGATCAATAGCGCCCTGTCAGATCTAACCGCTGCAGAGAAGGCTGACCCGGCCGTCAGCCATGCCCTGGCTGTCCGCGCTGCCCTGCCATGGCAACTACCATCGTTTCTTCCAGCTTTATCTTGACACCCCTAACATGGGCGCCTATCTCATGGACATGTTTGTCGACCGCGAGCGTCTCGCCGCCCCTAGCATGTATTTGTAAAGCGTAAGTCTCTAACTTTAACTTCTTCTCTTTTGCCATATGCTTACTCTTCACAGGTACAAACCAGATGTGAATATCAGGTTCATCACGGAAGAGCTGGGCTTCGAGTCCGACGAGCAGAGCGCCCGCTTCGTGCTGGACCATGTCTCCGAGCACCTGCTGCAGGAAACGCAGGACGGCGTCAAGCTGCTGACGGGCAAGTGCGGTGCTGCCTTTGAGGCCGCCAAGCAGCAGGCCTTCCGTCGCATCGACATCAAGGGGCAGATATAATCTATAACCCATTATATCTTCCTCCTCCCTCGTACTCTACCTCTCCCTCACCCTCGACTTACCTCTACTCCGTACTTACCTTCGACCTCTACCTCTACCTCTCTCTCTACTTTTACCTCTGCTTCTTCACCTACACTGCTTCTTCCACTTCCATCATCTGAGCGACTTTATCTTCTTCTACTACTACTACTACTTTTATTCTCTTCTTGAATAAGCGGCGTTTGGGCATCTCATCACATCGCGGACCGGGAAACAGCAGCACCACGAACGGAAGAATCGACGAGGACAAGACGAAGAAGCAGAAGCAGAAGCAGAAGCAAGAAGGGATAGAAGAAGAAGAAGAAGAAGAAGCTGCCCTTTTCTCTCCTCTTTTGCTTTTTTTCTTTTTGCCTTCTTCTTTTCTTCTTTGCTTCTTCTTCGTCTTTCTTCAAGGCTTTCTTCTCAGGGGGTTGGGTCGGGATCGTCTTTTTGGCAGGCAGCGGCGTCTAGTTACGTATGTATCTTCCATAGCTGTCCGTAGTATTCTCTATATCATCTCTATACCTTCTATACTTCATCTTCTACTTCATCTTACCCTCGATCTATACTTCATCCCCTTACTCTTGATCTATATCATCTACTTCTATACTTCTTCTACTTAATTCTACCTGTATGCTTGCTTTTTCCCAGCCTCCTAACGGCCCTAAACAGTCGCACAGTCGATCATCTACTCCTGCTCTCTGGTTACTCTGTCCCTCTTCTTCTCTTCTTTACTGTATTCCTCTTTACTGTTACTGTCTTCATCTTCTTCTTCTCCTTCTTCTTCTACTTATCTACATCTATATCAACATCAACATCCCTTATCCCTGCCTATAAAACCATCGGCTACCCGATCTTGAAGTCTCAACGCCCCGCGATCGCCTCTAGTTATTTAACCACATAGATAGTCAAAGTAAAGTAAGTAAATAGAATCTACTTCTGTCCATCTGACCATTTCTTCTTCTCTTATATCTGCTTCTCTTCCTATAACTATCTTCTTCTGTCCTGTCCTGCTGTCTTCGTCTTCCTCTTCTTCTTCCCTGCCCAAAGCCTGCCCCTTTTTTGGTCGAAACACTCATCGTTACAGAACACGGCGACCTCGACCTCGTCCTCTTCCTCTTTTACTCCTTTTACTCCTTTACTGCTTCTTCTCTGTCTATCATCTTCGTCTCCATCTCCATCTTCGTATCTGGCCTAAAGAGACCCTCCTTACGACCTCTTCTTCGTCTTCTTCTTCCTCCCTTCGGTCCGTCTGTCCCTTTTCTCTCTTGTCTAAACTAAGGCTGAGCTGCTTCCTTCGCCACCTTTTTTTCCGCGCTTCTTCTTCTTCTTCTTCTTCTTTTCTTCTTCTTCTGCTTCTTCTGCTTCTTTTTCCTTCCTCTAACAAAAAACGAGTCAGAAAACGAACAAGTCAAACCGACCGTCGCCAAAGACTCGATCAAGGCAGCGCCATGAAGGTAAGACTCACACTAGCCCTGGCTTCGCTACTTAGTACTTCTTCTTCTTCTTCTCTTCTTCTTCTTCTCTTCTTCTTCTCTTACTTACTTCTACTTCTCAGGCCATCCGGCGCTCGCTCAAGGGCGACAAGGAAAAGTCGCAGCATCACCACCACCAGCACGTCTCGATCACGCCCAAGTCGGCCCTCGCCATCTTGCCGCCCAAGAAGGTCAGTTACATGTACATTTCTGGTCCCTGTTTTACCTTCTCTTGTTCTTACTCTTGCGCTGCTGTTATTTGCTTCTTCTTCTCTCCGTCTCCTGGTTCATCTTCGTCGCCGGCACCCAAGCCGCAGAGCTGCAAGGGTTGCTTGGTTTGGGTTGCTCTGCTGCTCGGTGTGGGGGCGTGGATTTGGTTCTGCTTCTGGGGGGTCACGTCAAAGACTTGCTCCACCTCCATCAGCACCACCTCCAGTTTCTAGTAGAAAACAACAGCATCAACGACCAGCTAACTCGGTGCAGGTGATAAAAGCGCTGTACGACTACCAGCCGTCGCCGGACAACAGAGAGGAGCTGGCCTTCAGCAAGGGCGACTTCTTCCACGTCATCAGCAGAGAGGACGACCTCAACTGGTACGAGGCCTGCAACCCGCTGTTCCCCAACGCCCGCGGCCTCGTCCCCGTCGCCTTCTTCGAGGTCATCGGCAAGAACCAGCGAGACAGCGCAGACTCGGTGCATGCGCCCGTAGACCCCCAGCAGCAGCATCACGGCCATAGTCACAGCCACAGTCACAGTCACAGTCACAGCCAGAGCCAGAGCCAGAGCCACGGCCAGCAGACCCGTCTTGCCCACGACTCGGGCTTCGCAGACAGCAGCGCCATCAACACCAGTCCCAGCAAGGCCGACAAGACCTCGCAGTTCAGGATGTCGTCCCTGGGCAAGGCCGGCGCCACCGCCATGGTCTACGGCATCGTCATGTACGACTTCAACGCCGAGCGGCCGGACGAGCTCGAAGCAAAGGCCGGAGAGGCCATCATCGTCATTGCGCAGTCAAACCCAGAGTGGTTCGTCGCAAAGCCCATCGGCCGTCTGGGTGGGCCGGGCCTGATCCCGGTCTCCTTCATCGAGATCAGAGACATGTCCACGGGGAAGTCGGCGTCTGACCCTCTTGAAGCCGTTCGCCGCGCGGGAGTGCCCCGTGTCGAGGAGTGGAAGAAGATGACTGCCGAGTACAAGAACTCGTCCATCTCGCTAGGCAAGTTCGAGAACGGCCCGCAGCAGGCGGCAGCCGAACTGGAACGCATGAGCCTCAACTCTCGCTCTGTTAGTCTTTCTTTTACTACCTCTCTACTCCGTTTTTCAAGTGTAATGCTAATCAACTTATATAGAACCATCAACGAAACCCGAGCAAGCAGGGTTATCCACAGCAACCACAGCCGCAACAGCAGCAACAGCAACACTATCAAGTTCCCATACCAGTACAGGCGTCTATCCCACGATACTGCTTCGACAATGACAAGTACTGGTACATCGTCGAGGTCCAGATGGAAGACGGCCGATGGTGGGAACTCTCCCGCTACTACCACGACTTCTACGACTTCCAGATCGCCCTGCTCTCCCAATTTGAAGAAGAAGCCGGCAACAGGGGCGGCCAGCGCACTCTCCCGTTCATGCCCGGACCCGTCACCCAAGTCACAAACGCCATCTCCAACGGCCGCCGCCAGAGCCTAGACGAATACGTCAAACAACTCCTCGCCATGCCCCCGCACATCTCCCGCTGCCAGCTCGTTCGCCAGCTCTTCGCGCCTCGTCCAGGTGACTTCGAGATCGATCCCGCCGTCATGTCAGATGACTACCGCCTCTCCAGCGGCTCCCAGCAGTCGTCAGGCCACAACCTCTCCAGAACTGCCTCCCGCCAGTCCTCCCAGGGCCAGATGAGCGGCCCCAACCAGTCCGGTCACTACCAGCCGTCTCAGCGCCCTACCCACCAACGCAGCCAAGGCTCCGTCTCCCAGCAGTACCATCAGCAACAACCACAAGCACCACTACCACCACAGGCCCCTTCCATGTCCCGCCAGGGAAGCTCGTTTAACAGCCAGATGCCCTCCCAGGGTTCCGGCGCGATAAAGATCAAAGTCTTCTTCCAAGATGATATCATCGTCATCCGTGTCCCAGACGACATCAATCTACGACAGCTGGTCGACAAGCTGCGCGACAGACTCAAGGTAGACGCCATGATCATCCGGTACAAGGACGAGCCGTCAAACTCGTTTGTCGAGCTACTCGGAGACGCCGACCTCGAGACTGCCATTCGTCGAAACGCCAAACTCATGCTCTACGTCAATGCAGCGTGATCCACCTCTCCCTACCTCCCTCTTTTGTCTCTCTATCTCTCTATCTCCCCTCTTATCCTATGTCTGCATCTTCTCTTCACTATATCTATCTCATCTGCTATTTATATCCTGGATTCCCTTATACCACTGTCTGTTGATTCGTCCTCCTTTCTCGGCAGTTCTCTGGCTTTTTTCCTCTAGTTTGTCTGCTTTCCCGA